GAATTATAAAATACAAAGTGGAATTCTACAATCAAAACTATAAAATATTGCATGAGATATGTTCAAATTCTCTCTAGGGGAATATATATATATAAAACAGCTTGAAACAGTGTACGCTGACATTCATGCCAACTAGAAAGACATCATTTTAATTATTTACGATAACTAACATTATGACTCATATTCATTTTGAAATTATAATATCTTTAGCAAGAGAAAAAGAGAAAATAGTCGAGAAAAATCGACGAAAACCATCCCAGAATCTGACAAATTTCGTACAAAACATTATTTTTATCTTTCCATTCTTCCAATTCATACTAGCTCTCCATTATTTTTTTCAAATATTAATCTATTTAAAACAACAATAACACTATTTCGATTTACGCTTAAAAAGTTTAACCATACCTCCAAAAAAACCGTGTTTTCAAATCGACTTCGTACATTTGCAAACCAGTTAATATACCCCATATTTATATCAGACATACATGAATTAACAATTAAAATTATGATAATAATACTTGAAGTTATTATCTTAAACAACAATTTTAAAATTGTGACATATCTGTTTTAGGATTTTAAACATTTACAATGTTGACATCTGACAGTACTGTCCGTGAACAGGGCCTGCAACATTTACTATTTTGTCGTTTTGGACTTCCTTTATGGATTCTTTTTTTTCTCTATTTCATTGCCACATTAGCGTTGTTTATGCCTTGTGGAGGCCATAAAAAGTCGCCCAGTACATTCAATCAGAGATGTAATATCAAGATAGTTCAGCACGACATATTTGTTGTCTTTGTGATACTTCTAGCTTTTACTTTTCGGCATTTTTTTAGTTGGGTGGTTCCAATAGTCTTACTTGAATAATGTTGAACCACCCTTAGGATATGCTGCCTTTTTTAATTTGTCTTTTGACTTTTTACCTGTGACATGAAGGCTTCCTAACCTCTCATCCTCTTTCAATCCTGTAGTGATTCATATTTTCTCTATATTATAGAATTTTTACCAATTAATATCACATCATCAGGGAACAAAAGTACAATGAGGCAAATGTATTGAAGGGTTTCACTTCTATGTTGTTATATTCATATGGTCCTTCGGATAACTTTTTACAGATAGTTAAACATCACAACAGCAAGTGTCAAGAGCTATGTGACAGCCGTAAATATTTGCTCCGCCTTTCACTTCAGTGTTTTGATATTTTTCTGGTCCTTCGGTAAAATTGAGTCTAGTACTTTTAAGTGTTGAGAATTGAGTAACGCTAAAGCTGGTGCTATGGGGCGTGAGGGATGTTGCACCTTTTCATTAACCCTCTCATGTACTGACTCAATCAAACCGATTCTGCAAAAGTTCATGTTTGCTGTTTCTAATGCTTCCGAGGGATAACTTTAAGGATTTCTTTTCAGATATTTATACCAGAAATAAAATTATGTTACAAAAAAAATTCTGTATCTTCAGAGAAAAATAGGAAAACCTTACTTTGGTAAATATTCTCTCCTTTACGTAATCCAATCGAAATATAATAAAAAAAATCAGAATATTTACCACAGGCCATTACACAAGATTTAACAGAGTTGTAAATCTTCTTATTATTCTTAATAATTTACTGTTCAATAATAATTTATAACCAAAATGCATTTCTGTATAGAATCAAAACAACGTTATACATCAATAAATGCACAATGCAATCTTTTATTCTAGTTCAATTTTTTTTTCAATTATGGAATGTTATTTAGAGCATCCGTAGTCGAAATGCCTTTTTGAAACCAAATTGCGTATCAGAAGTTATATTATTTTCAATACACCATTTAGTTTTTCTTTGCTTCGAAATGCTAGAAAACAATTTTCCAAGATGACTCCCGTACTTCTCTTCAGTGTTGTTATATATCTTGTCCTTCGGGATCATTGATGCCAGCACTATTAAGTGTTGAGCATTGAGTACAGCTCAATCCGGTGCTAGGGGGCGTGAGGGATGTTGCACGTATTCATTTTCCCTCATGTACAGTCTCAATGAAACCGAGTCTGCAATTCTCTTGTAATTTTGTTGTGATTAATGCTTCCGAGGGATCACTTTGTTTCCAGATTTCAATAAAGTAATCGTACATTTTTACACAGGGTTAAAATCATTACAATCATGATCTTGTTAAAATTTTGTCCTCTAAGGCTTTCAGTCAGAGGAAAATTGAACCCGCAGAACATAGTTTTAGAATTTTGCTTTTTGTCTATAAAATAGCGCCAAAATCACGAGACTAACTTCCAAATTCATTGGTTTGTTGCCATTTAAAAGAACGACGCATTTTTTAATAACAATATATTTTTACCTAGCTTGAACAAATTTCAATAAATCAGTCTCTGTGTGTGACATATTTATTTAACAGTATAAATGCATTTTTATACAACTGCTTTGCTTTCCAACCGTCTAAATCAATGAAAGAAGTGATTATGTATTAAGTTCAGTAGGATTAAAACAAGGTTATCTGGCCAACTGGATTCTTTTCTCTTTCTAGATAGATGAATAACAACATATTTTAGATGATAGTGACATAAGAGGAATTCAGTTACACCCATCTGAGACACAACTTTTATCATTAATGTTTGCACATGATATTGCTCTCCTTTCTGATACAGTTTCTGGCTAACAAAAGCAGTTAGATATTTTGTCAACTTTTTTCAAATACATATAAACTTAAAGAAGTTAAACATTTAATTATTAATATCTCTTTGATACACAATGATGATTAAGAAATTTCCAGAAAAAATTGATGTTTTACAGTCATTTTCAGTTAAATATATACATGTATATCATATTACATGCTATAATTTTGTGTAAATTGTTTTTTTGTATATATGTTTTTGCATGGGCCGGAACCCTTAAAGCGAAACAAAGTAGTTGTATTATTGTCTTGTATTGTAAAAATTAAAATTTTAACAAGATTCATCAATTTCAGATATCAAATCATGGAAATGTACAGCCATGTTTTAAAAAAAAGAGGATCTGTCGCTTACCTCGCAACACTCGGGTGAATATATTCACCGTATTATTTACACTGTTTACATTATTTACATTACATTTCATTAACATATCATTTAAAACAGGCAATTTTGCTATTATTACAGAACGATATAATTCTTTACCATTATCGCTCCATTTGATATACTCATAATTAGATACTTTGGATCCATTTGCGCCAACTGTCAAAATTTAAAGCAGCAGGTTCGCTGAATTCATTAAAATTACAGACATGAAAATTGTGTATCATTTTAAAATCTTTTTCCACACAATAATAAATTCTCTATTAAGCTAGCACCCTTGTTATTAATTATAACATGCAAAAACACATTTCCCAAAGCATCCGCTAAGCGACAGTTTGCTATTCTAAGGGAAGTAGCTATGCCCATGTCTATAAATGTACATGTATTACCATATGAGTTACTCCGCTTGTCCATTGAAATCTTAGCAATGGTGTATCGACGAATCGACGACGAAGGACGAATTCTCAAAAAAAAAAAAAAAAAAAAAAAAAAAATGCCCCCGCATCTTGAGTAAGAATGACCTGTTTTAAAACATTTTGTGCTCCCGCATCTGAATGGAGATATACCTGTTTAAAACATTTTTTTGCTTCCGCATCTGAAGGGAGATAATATACATGTTTAAAACTTTTTTGCCCCGCATCTGGATGGAGATATACCTGTTTAAAACATTTTTGCTTCCGCATCTGGAGGAAGATATACATGTTTAAAACTTTTTTTTGCCCCGCATCTGCATGGAGATATACCTGTTTAAAACATTTTTCTCTGCTCCTGTATCGATTTAAAACAATTTTTGCTTCCGCATCTGGATGGAGATATACCTGTTTAAAACATTTTTGCTTCCGCATCTGGAGGAAGATATACATGTTTAAAACTTTTTTTGCCCCGCATCTGCATGGAGATATACCTGTTTAAAACATTTTTCTCTGCTCCTGTATCGATTTAAAACAATTTTTGCTTCCGCATCTGGAGGGAGATATACCTGCTTAAAACATTTTTTGCTCCCGCATCTGGAGTGAGATAAACCTGTTAATAACTTTTTTTTGCTCCCGCATCTGGAGGGAGATATACCTATTTAATACAATTTTGCTTCCGCATCTGGAGGGAGATATACCTGTTTTAAACATTTTACGCTCGCATCTGGAGGGAAATATACCTGTTTTAAACTATTTTTGCTTCCGCATCTGGGGTTTTAAACATTTTATGCTCCCGCATCTGAACGGAAGATATACCTGTTTAAAACAATTTTTGCTTCTTCATCTGGAGGGAGATATACCTGTTTAAAACATTTTTGCTTCCGCATCTGGAGGGAGTTACACCTGTTAAAAACTATTTTTGCCCCGCATCTGGAGGGAGTTACACCTGTTTAAAACTTTTTTTCAAATGCATGCTTCTCGATATTTATTCAAAATATTTAAAATGCGAGTCTTGTAGTTTGTTTATGTAATTTAAGCGGAAATATCTTTTACTGGTCTGTAGATGAATCGTGTATGCATGACCTTTACTTTAACAGCCATTTACTGAACAACTCTTTCTGCTATTCTTTTAGCTGCCGGCTTCTGATTATAAATCAGTTGACGTAACGGTGAATAACTATTGGTTTTAGATATCTTATTTTCAGACTTATAACGGAAAACATTCCATAGCTCGATTGCATGTTTTTGTTTAAATATTTGTTAATCTATCGCACTTTCAACTAAGGATCGGTCATGTATGATTCTTAATATAGAATGCTGATCAAGTCTTGGAGAGATTTCATTTTGCGGAAGATTTAGATTTGGGGTTGGTGCGGGGGGGGGGGGGTGTTGATTACGTTTTAACAACGTTCCTCACGAACACTTTAAATAAATTGTGATCACAAAATATGTATCCATACAATATTTTTATCCAACAGTCATCGTAAAAGAAATCCGAATAGGGATAGAAACAAAACAGATTACGACCAAAATTTTATTTTCAGACATACGCTTAATCTTACTTTAAACATTGGAAAAGAAAACACAATAAATAAAAGTATTACGCAGAGTTATTTTTACAATAAAGATTCCAGCATATATTTAATAATTTAAAAAAACAAAACAACACAAGTTATGTTTTCTCTTGAAAGTAGATCATAGATTCTCTAACATTATATAACTATGAAAGAAAGAACAAAAGCACAAATAAAGAGATATATAACCTCTATATCAAATGCAGACTGAAAATAATTGGACTTTGACACGATTGAACACAAAAATGAACCTTTTTATACATATCTGTCAAAATCATAAGCGCTATACGTTGAAATTTAAACCAGTCTATTTTATGTAGTTAACGTGACTTTTTTCAATGCCAATTAAGCTTAATTGGTAATATATTTCAAATGATGGTGATTGACCAATAATTGATTATAATAAAAGACCGTCTAACTCTTTTTAAGAATTAAGGGTTACCAATTTATTCTTAACGAAATTAAAAGAAATTTCCTTTGGTCACACTTATCATAGTTTTTCTTTTCACTCGTAAAATATAGAAATTAAACACAATAATGGTAAATGTCAAATTATTTTAGTCTTAACTGTTCACTGCCTCTTTACACTTTGATGGATATAATGTCATTTTAATAATGGAACACACATGTCAACAACAGACTCAGTTTATGTCTTAACAGATCTCATAATGACAGATAGAAACTTACAGACAATAATAATAATAATGTATGATAGATTTGGCCATAACATTCACACAATTAAACAAAAGTTGAGTAGAAATTTCCTTTTACTGCATAATGCAATCATATGTTGAATTCTTACAAAGCGCAATCATATGTTAAATTTACAAAGACTTTTATGTCGCCAATAACAATTAGCATCATGCCACATGTTATCACTCCATAATAACAAACAATTTTCTAAAAAAAACCCTCCCGGCTCCCCCTGTCCCCAGCCAGTCCAGTCACCAAACTGCGTGCCATCCAGCCAACGCCAATTCCTTTCATTCTGTAAATCATTTCCTCCTATCCACATCTCTGACGCTAAGTTAAAATTAAATAGGAAATAAAACAATATGAACATGAATGACCAATGATTTTTATGTTTTAAAATCATCCAAAAGATATTTGGATCAAAATTATTCAGGACAGAATCGTTTCATTATGATTCTTATGGTTTGTGACTTATTGTCACACTTATTTGATTATCTTGTTTTAATTACCAAGCAGCCATCTACAGGTTATTGTTGTTTATATATTTTTACATTTGCTCATCATTCCCTTTCATCTACATCGATGGCGCTAAGTTAAAATAAAATAGTAACTAAGGATATCACTCAAGATGAATCAATCCCCTATCCGCCATCTAAACTATTTGTTAAATTAGTGGTTTGAAGCCAAATTTGAACCGACCGATATTTACACATCACAATAGCAGGTGTCAAGTGCTAGGTGGCATCCGTAAAAAGTTGCCCCGCACTTCTCTCCAGTGTTGTTATAATTTTCTGGTTCTACGGCATTATTGGGTACAGCACTTTTTATTGTTGAGAATTGAGTATCGCTCAAGCCGGTACTAGGGAATGTGAGGGATGTTGCACTTTTTCATTTTCCTCAGGTTAAGACTCGATCAAACCGAGTCTGCAATTTTCATGTAAGTTTGCTGTTTTTAGTTATTCCGACGGATCACTTTTTTTCCTGATATTAATATTTCATGATGTTCTGTCCTGAATTATCTTGTTTTCAATTATTTTTAGATGATTTGACACATAAATTATTGGTCATTAATTTACCAATAACAATAACAAAATATTACCTTGTTAAAAGAAATGTTCAAACATCTGTGAAGCATCATTTTTGTAAAAAAAGGGAGATAACTAAGTAAAAACATGTTCTGAAGCCGAATTTAAATGAAAAGATATTTAAATATTACAAACTACCTAACAGAGTTATCAAACTTAAAAACACAAATTGCATTGGTATTTGAAGTTCAAGTAAATATCTCTACCGGTCCTTGAGATTGGAGGGACACATAATAAAGTTTAAGTCAGTAGAAGCAATTAAAAAAGTCTACCCCAATGGAAATTTGTATCCAAGTAAGAGGACAGTTCATTCATAAACAACGACGAAGCTATAGGTGAATTTGGTATTATTTCGGGATACTTTCTTAATTAAAAGAGATGCACAATTATATGAAACTTGGCACAGACACAGATGCATTGTAATTTACTTTGTTATGTCATGTTTGGCCTAGTATTAATAATTTTCTTATGATAATAACAAAGTTACCGCCAATCATAGCAAAAATTAGTGATAATTCAATAATAACACCTTCAAGGTCAAGGTCATTTAAGAGTCAATGTCAAAAATAGTCTGACCTTTATAAAGGTATAGTCCCTAAGGAAATTGTATCTAAAACTTAGACAATCCAGTCATAAATATATATAATTTATAGCCAGTTTAAGCAAAAAATCAGAAAAATTAAATAATTTGACTTTAATGGTCAAGGTCATTAAAGAGATCAGGTCAAGGTCAGTCCGGTGAACTTTAAGAAACCTTTCCTTTCCAAGGATCGTTGTGTCAAAGTATGAAGACCAGTCAGTTTTGGGATATTTTATAATTTAAAATGGGGCATAATTATGTCAAACTATCAGCGTTATGAAACTTGACGTAGACAGTTTCATTGCGATATTGCAGTGATATGAAAACCTATACCAATTTCTAAGATGTGACGAGACGGGACAAAGTGATTCCTATATAGCCCCTGACCCCTAAAAACTATGTTTGGTAATAACATTACATCAATATGTAAATTCATGACCATTAATTTGTTCGATATAATCATCAAAAAAGTGTATCTATATCAATACGGAATCTGTTGTCTTACACAGATGTACTGTTTTGCGAAATCATTTCTTTTGTGCAGGATTGGAAGAAGTTAATAGGTGGACATGTATCAATAGGTATTAGCAAGAAGGAGGCTTAAAGAATGAAATACTCGTCTTATACTTGTGTGTATTTCTCAGAGTTAAAATTTTGAACATCAGGTATTGCTCGTATCTAAACGAAACAGTTTTAATATTTAGGTTAACTGGATACTTACTGTAGACATTAAGAACATTCTCTATAATGAACAAATTTTCTTGCTGCGATTTAATGTCTGCCAGAAACCCTCCAGTTTCATTACAGTGGATCTATATGCAAATGAAATGTATATTATTAATATTTCAATCAACATTTTAATAAATGAAACATTCTATGTTAGTTAAACGTTCAAAACAAATTACTAAAATGAAAGATATAGAACGATTGTATAAATAAATGACTATCAATAAAATCAAGTTAAAAGTTCCTTTTGACCAAAAAAACAACAACAAATGTTCAACGTTATTTTTACATAATGATCGATTTAAGTAAATGACCAATCAATTATACGTACAAAAACATTTAAAAAACCAAAGCCGGTTGAACTCGGTGATGCTCCCCGAATAGGTATTGATTGGACACAGATAAGTAGTTTTGTGTAAATATCTCTTGTAGTCTCAAAATAATGTCCCAGACAAAGTTAAAGTAAAAAATGTAAAAAGGGCAATTACTCCAAAACATGGTAAGGCAGGGTTACAGTTCTTATGCATTGTACATCTACCGAATGAGATTTACCTACTAAGTTTCTTGTTGATACATCTTATAGCTACAGAGCTATGTCCAGAGTTAAAGCAGCTGACCTCCAAAAGATAGTAGAAAAACTGCTGCTGTCTTGCTAATATTTCAAAATCCCCCCTCAAAAACATTATATAGTTGAAAGAAATCGAAATGATACTTCAAAGTGTTCATATTTTACCATTATTGCTCTAAGAACAAACAGTTCGCCTTTCCACCAACGGGAAAAACCTTCTTTTATTATACCACGATATTCTTTCACCCGGTTTTTTTCTATTATCAAGCGATCGTACAGGACAATATCGCGACCTGTGCTCCGGAACGCACGGAATCCGGAATTTTATCAAACATATAGGGATACGAATAACTGCTTTGTTTTTATAATTTTATTAATTCAAGGCACTGAAATTATAATTGATTAATTATTTCATATATATGATGACCAATTTATCGATTTAACCTTTAGCTTGAAATGAGATAGGGGCCTACTTAATGACGAAAATTGATAAACGATCCCGGGCATACCGGATACCGGGATTTTTCCGGATCACTGTTGTGACACGTGACCGCGTTAAATGAATTATCTTCTCCTATTTATATTGGCTACTGCGTTAGTAACGTAGTAGATTATGGAAAAGAAAACCCGATATATTAACGCTTTTGTCAACATTCTTTCTTGAATTAAGGTGTCAGTAATGATGGATTTATACAATAAACCTAACTAGATCAGTATTTACCATTTACTTGAAATTTTATTTCATTTTTTTTCATTTTACCATCTGGAGGTCAGTGGCTTTAAGGTTCAATGTGTAAAAATGGAAAAGTGTAATAACTCAAAAAATAGATAAGGCAGAATTACAGTTCTTATGTACTGCACATTTATTTAATGAGATTTATCTACCTACAATGTTTCTTGTTGATACCTCTTGTAGTTTCAGTAGTTTCAGAGTCATCTCCCGGACAAGGTTCATGAAAAAGGGCGATATCAAAAATAAGACAAGGCAGAGTAACGGTTCTTATGCACTGCACTTTTACTTAATGAGATCTATCTACCTACAAAGTTTCTTGTTAATATCTCTTGTATTTTCAAAGGTTAAGTCCAGGACAAATTGACGGACGGATGGGCGACGACTTTATGCTCTCGCTTCAGGATCGAAAAAGGAAAAAAGAAAACGCAAATCAACAACAATAACAGCGTCATCCATTTTAAAAATTCATTTTTACAACTTGAGGCAATATTTCTTTTTATATGCTGGGACTTAAAACATTGTCATTTAAAGCCCCAAATTATACTTAATCATTAAGTGGCAAATATTTTAATAAAAAATGGTAAAGTAAAATGGTAAATATAGTATCTAATAGTGCTAAAATTAAATGACAAGAAGGTGATTTTGTCATAAAAAAATATCTTCCCCGATTGGACTCTAAGTATGGAACAGCGCTATGCAAATCCTGCAAGCATTTTGACCTGTGAAAATCAGACACAATTTTGCTATTTTTAGCTCTGGCGGTCATTTTGTGTAGCGAACGTGCATGTGATATACAAAACTAGGATTGGCACTGTTCCATACTTCGAAGTTTCGTCGATACCCGTCAGCAGTTTAACCTGTGGAAGCCTGACAAGATTTTTCTTTCCTTTTAATTTTTTCAAACTCAGGCAAAAATTTTGTACAGCCAAGCGGAACGTGCAGGCGACATGCAAAACAAGGGTTGGTATTGATTACTCCTGTGAATTGCCAACATATTGAGCTGTAAAAATTTGACAATGTTTTTCTATTTTTAGCACTGCCACCCCCTTTGGTACAGCGAAGAGGAACGTGCATTCGATATGCACAACAAGGGATGGTACTAATCATTCCATTGAAGCTTCATCAAAATCCCGCAAGAAGTTTGACCATAAAATATCTTTATATTTTTAGCTCTGGTGGCCTTTTTTTGGGCAAAGCGAATAAAAAAAACAACAACAAACAAACTTTCTTGCATTACGAAAAGCGAACTGACATAGACATACTTACACTCCTGGTAAACAACAGAGTTACTTCTTTCGGAGGTAAATGTATACGATGAATTATTCTATCTATTATTCCTAGCTAGTACATGTATTAACAGAGGTATACTGTTGTCTTATATATTTTTGTAAACTCAGCATGGAATTTTGAAAATCGAAGAATGTTATACCATGTAGATTTGAATGTAAATTTGATGAAGAAATGTTTTAACTGAAGTTATGGCGATGTTTTCCGTATTAAATGTTGTATTGGACTTTTTTAACATGAGATAATTGCAATTGCCTAATATTTTATATATCCAAGAATGCAATTAAAATCTAACAAAATATATATGACAAACTGTTCTATTGTGAGAGAGGTAGTCATGTCGCTTGCTAAGGAGATTACTCTGAGTGATAGGTTAATATAATAATTTCATATACACAACTTTTCTTCCGCCACACTTATGTGATTTTAACAGCTTATTACTTGATGAATCCATCGATAAAATAAATGTATTCGGCATTCACATGGTAGTACATGTAATTAACAAAATGGAAATACAGGTGATTTCAACAGTTTATGTGTTATGATATTATAAAGGCGGAGATAAAATTGATATGTTTAGGAAGCCTCCGGTGCCAGTGATCTATAGGATGTTAGCTCAACGTGTAAGGAAAGTTAAGGAAAGTGGTCGTTTGACTGCTGTGTGTGTGTGTGCGTGTGCGCGCGCGTGTGTGTGTGATATGTATATATGTGTTTATCTTTGTGTGTAAGTATATGTATGTTGTTCCACGAACACATTTTATACTTTTTATTCCATGTTATAAATGTAAATGATTTGTATTTTATTTACTAATGTTAATTGTTTTTAGATATTGTACAACGCCATTGAATATGTTTTGTATGTAGTTTTTGTACAAGATTCAATTTACATCATACACGAGGTGTATATGATATGTATCATGTTACAATTTCAGAATGAGTTAAACATTACAAATGTGAATAGTCTTGCTTCTCAATAAGCAGGAAATTTCATATTTCAAAAATGCACAAACAATTTTCAAACAAGAAATTTTTTCACATTTATTAGTAAACATGCGAGATTGAACCGTCATATAGGATATTTCTGTAAAATAACCTATAGCCCATTACGAAAGAGATAGCTCCTTGGTGATATTAGTTCCTCCTTCACGACTGAAAGTCTTTTGAATAAATATCACTAGTTCCTTTTAAAAGATAAGCTTTGTTTCTGATTAAATTTTTTGTTACATTCAAGACATTATATCTATTTGAAACACATTCGTTTTTAATCTGGTTTGCTGTTTAAATGAATTAATGAGGCAATAGCATTCTTTTAAAATTAATATTAATCAAATTAACATGGTATAGCATTCTTCGATTTTTGATGCAGAGTTTACAAAATAAAACATACAATAAGGCAACACTATACCTATAATGACACTTAAATTCGGCGACATGCACTAGCTCGGAAGTAGGTACCGATATGCGCCCGGAAGAGGCATCTCTTATGTTGATCAGGCGTGTTGTTAACAGACAGTAAATATATTAATATAATGTCACCTTCCCCTCATACCAGCTCCGCTGAGTTTGGTCCACAAAATAACACGAGTTGCCATGGCAAATCCATTCATCTTTTAAAAGAAGTAATAGAAAATGTCTTAAGTGAATAAGTTAATTTATTAAATATCAAAACAAATATTAACATTGGTAAGATTAACAAAAGTAAACAGTATACCAGAACAGCCTCCGGAATAAGTTTGCAAATCCGGAATTTTCGCAAACTCAACTACCCTATTTAATATAGTTTCAATACAAAAAGTTAAATCAAGCAATTTGGATAAAAATAGACAATTATTGGCCGTTTATACAAAGATAGCGCAATAATTAAACGTTGGGTGAGCGTTCAAAGTGTGGCCTCCCATGGGGTTTTTCAATTCTCCTACGGAGTTTTACCTGTCCCACTGTGACTTCAGTGGCGTTAAAACCCCATCTCTTAAAGTGGGAGAATAAAACCGTTGGAGGTAAAACAATTTTTTTCTAAATATTTTTACATGTGTTGAATATATAATACTTATAATAAATTTATAAGTATTCGAGGAATATGTTTAAAGAATTTTGCATTTCTCCCATTGGCTGAACTAACCCATTTAATAAATGGGCGGAATCTCCCAAAATTTAAATGGTGCGGAAAACTCCAAAAATTAAAAAGGTTACATGGCGGCATTCCCATTGGCTGAACTAACCCATTTAGTAAATGAGAGAAATCTCCCAATATTAAAATGGTGCGGAAAACTCCAAAAATTAAAAAGGTTACATGGCGGCTTTCAATCTTTTCTGGTGGAAGACATCGGATGCCCTTCCGAGCATTATTTCAGGCGTATGCGGACAACTGCTTAACAATTCCCTCTCAAATGAAACTATTTCACTGAGAACACGGGAAGGGACATCTTAGTAAGTTCTAACATCAAAATTACAAACATTATATATTTATTTGTTCTCCTCAAACCCCAAAACTCGATGCCTTCTTCAATACAACACGGGTATTTATGTGCATAGACAATAGTTATGTCTTAAACGATATGAAACCGTTTCATTTCAAATAATGAGCGTCTACTGAATGCCGATATTGAACGTATATCTTACATTTTAATAAAAAGCTATTACAAATGTAAACGTTTGTGCTTATCTACAAATGTTTACATTTCATTTTAATTTTTCAAAGACTTAAAATAAATGTAGCTAAATTAATAAGTGTAAAAACCAATTACCTGATATTTATATATTTATTCATAACATCCCCCCCCAAAGTGAGTTGTAAATGACGATCATTTATCAAAGGGGAGTAACAATGCATGGTCATTTATTTGCAATACACCATTTCTGTAACCTTATCTCGTTCATGAAAAAAAGTATTTAAATGGACGATAAAACCATCTGACAGAGCTAAGAATTCAGGGTACCCTGCGTTATTTCCAAAACATGTTACATCAAAAACATGCTTGAATTGAGTAAAATCAGTAAAGTTGTATATGACTTCGATTAAAAAAGAAAAATGATAAATGAATAAAGCGGGAATTTGCCACCTTCACATTCGTTAAGAAAATTAGGTTTCGTCACAGTCTTAATTCACGTATGTCTCCGTTGAGCAATCTATTATATCTTACATTATTTATTTGTTACTTGCAATGTTTTAGAATTAACCATGTCCGGTTTAAATGAAAATATGTAGACATTGATTATTCTTATAATCATAAAAATATATTTATCTTATCAACATTAAGGTTTAAAATTGTTCACTTTTTAGGATAGAAGATGTATGATCGGCCGGATAGTTCAGTCGTTAGAGCTGCTAAATGACAGTACATGACTGCACATTCTTGTTTTGGCGTCCGGGTCGGGGCGTGACTGTATCATGTGTTTTATTGTCAGAATTGATTCACATCGCTCTTTAACCACGAGAATTTCGAGGACTAATTTCAAAATACCACAGTAGAGAAGAAAAGATGAGTAAGCGACAGGATTTTTTTATTTGGTGTGTGTTTAAATAATCCCTCTTTAAGGACATATAGGAAGGACACTTGGTAAATAATAAGCAATATGGTTCCAATGCTAGACTCAGTTTAATCAAAGAACGCATTATTGACAATTCAATTGTATCACTTTTTTTTAAAATCAGCCCTTATATGAACTGCAACTACACTACGTTCGTATCCGTGTATTACGAGCGAAGCAAAAATGAAAAGGTCAACGGTTATTAAATAGTTCATTTCGCCTGTAAAATATTTTTGTATCGGCAAAATAGAAGAAATAAAGGAGTATTCTTACTATAACAAAACAAAATGCATTTAAAAGCGATAACTTTTCTCAAACACTGCAAAAAAGTAATAAAACAAGAACCGGTTGAACCGGAATAGGTTTTCGGACACAGAAAAGTATACCTCATTTAGTGTCAGACACTTATGTCAGACATAAAATGCGAAGTGTAAAAAAATAACAAAGGGCTATGACTCCAAAATTAAGCAAGGCAGAGTTAAGGTTCTTTTGCACTGCACTTCTGTTCAATGAGATCTATTTACCTACAAAAGTTCATGTTGAAACCTCTCAAAGTGGTCAAAGGGCAATAACTCTAAACTTAGGCAAGACAGAGTTATGGTTCTTTTGCACTGAACTTCTTTCTAATGAGATCTCATTACTTACAAAGTTTCATGTTGAAACCTCTTACAGTTTTATAGTTATGTCCTGGACGAAATTCAAAGTATAAAAATGAGGAATGTTGAACATTCATGATTTTAGTGTTAATAGATGTATAGTAAGTCGCAATAATTTTCGTGTGATTAATTGTCCGTGATTTTTGCTGTTGTTTAGTAATTAAACTATTCTATAGTATCGCTAAAAAGTCGTCTGCTAACTACGACATCAAATGGAGAAGGTGAGATATTATTACTTTCTTTCATTAAAAGGCATAACGATATCATAAAGATTAATAAATGCATTCAAAGATATATCTGTCCGTTTGCCCGTATTCGTTGATGTATAGATAAAAATGCGCGAGTCGAATAAAAGCAGTATTTATTCATGTCCTTCAATTATTATACAAAACGTTATTTAGAATTTAGACTATTTCTATGAAATATTCACTTTACTGTAGGGATGAATGTATACTTCATGATACAAATGCATTTAAGGTGTCTTTACCGTTTATAAAATCTACAAGTGCATGTATGCTTCAGAAAATTCGGACAAAAACAAATAAAATTGGTGTTTTTATAATGTTTAATTATTAAGAGTAGCCCTATTTGCTAGGTTATCTATATGAAACATAGAAAATATGTAGGGACACATGTATACTTTACGATAAATAAATGTATTCATAGATATATCTGTGACTATATTCGTGAGAGTGAACATAATACATGACTTACTCGATTAAATGAAATGTTCAATTCTTACACAGGACGTTAGTCACTAAAATATATCTAAGATAGATAGATAGAGACGAATATAAACTTAAAGATAAATTTAAGACACATCAGGCCGGTTGTCAGTCATAATAAATACAAGTACATGTATATCTAAGAAAAGTCTGACAATACAAATAAAGTTGGTTTTGCTGTATTCATTAAGATATCTTTATCAAAACAAAATTAAACCATATGGCATATCTTAAGATAAACTTAAACCGTCCGTTTATCAGTGATGGTACCGTCGTCTGCTAGTTCAAACACTGTTTATCGGTATATAACCTGATTGTACAACTAATGTAAACTGTCAATTCTATTGTATTCCTTAAAAAATATAAATTGTCTGATTTGTTTATTATGTCTCTTTTCATTATTATTATTATTATTATTATTATTACTATTATTATTATTATTTTTATTTATTATTATTATTTTTATTCTCGTGATGCTTGATTTGTCTGCTGCTTTTGATACAATTGATCACGGAACGCTCCTTCGCCGCCTTGAACGACACTTTGGAATTGCAGGCAAGCCACTCGCATGGGTGAAGTCATACCTGACCGACCGATACCAGACTGTATGCATAAACAACAAACTATCACAGCCAGTCCACATGGAGTACAGTGTACCTCAAGGGTCTGTCCTTGGACCCAAGAGCTATGTGATGTATACGAAACCTGTCGGAGAAATCTGCCGTAAACATGAGCTAAACAACCATTTCTTCGCAGATGACTCACAACTCTATCTATCCTTCAAACCAGTGACTAGTATTTCAATTCAAGAGAATATAAACCGTATTGAAAGATGTCTTGATGATATTGTAAGTTGGATGAATGCCAACATGCTGAAGCTAAACGGCGACAAAACAAAGTTGATCATCTTCTCATCTGAACATAACGCACAACCTGTTTCAGATGTTACAGTAACAGTGCTTCCAGACAGCCGCAGCGAAATTATGGAATGCGTTACCACCTGGCATTAGAGACTGTAATACCTTGCCAAGTTTTAAGAGAGCTCTCAAAACACATTATTTCATAAAGTTCTATGGACGTTAGTTTCATAAAAAAACAGACATGTACTACTTTTGCTATATTATCAGTGTAAATTGTGTGTTTGATTTTATGTCTTACATTATAATTGGTTTCTTTTTAACTTTTGTTTGTTACTTTTTTTAACAATCTTATTTCGTTCAAATCTTTTATAGGATTTTTTTTTATTGAGCCTTGATTTTAAACTAAATGTGTCTGTATTTCTTACCATCCTTTACTGGTTTTAGATTATCATTATTGTTTAATAGGTTTACTTAATTAATATTGTACCTTATGTCTTATATATATATATATGATTATGTTTTATCAGATTTATGTAAAGCACTCTTGAACATTTATTACTTATGAAAAGAGTGCTATAGAAATGTGGTATATAATAATAATAATAATAATAATATTATTATTATTATTACTATGCGCAGGTAAAGTAAAATCGGTATGAATAAAAAACACAGATATTTGTTTTATAATGCGTTGCTTTTGTATATTAATTTCTATATGTAGAAATTTATTGACTTTTTGTGTAATAAACTAACTTACTCGGTCCGTCAATATGCCAGTTATATGGTAACTTTATTAATGTACTGATTAAATAGCTTTAAATTTACATAAAATTAAACTAGACAGGAAGCTTGTCTTGGGTAAATGGTGGAATTCGCAGGCATCTTAGCGTGAAACTGATAACGATCGCTGATTGGCTTATCTCTGTGGCCCCTGTCAGCTTGATTGACAGGCGGCGTAATGTCAATTATCAATGACTGCATGTTTGATACAAAATAACTACTTGTATGGTTTTATGCAACGCATGCCTTACGGCACACTTTTTCATCACTTATTACTTAATCGCTAGTATCTTAAAAATATGTATGACACCGATTAGATTACCATTTTGAACATATTACCGTTTTATCTTACAAATATTGTTTATTTTTTGTTTGTTTTGAAAAATTTTCACTACTAATTTTTCAACCGGCGATGATAACAATAGAAAAATGAAACAATTTCCATTATTGGAATTGCTTGGTTTTTTCCATTATATGAATAACATTTAAAATTTGTTTTTTCCATAAGGTTATTATTACAACTAAAAGAAGTGATCAACATCTTGTTTTTTTTTCGGAAAAAAAACCTTACCGCGGTATATATATGTAATGAAATCATATAAGTTATATACTTCAAATCCAGGAGAGACTTGCCATTTATCTTGTGAACCTATTTGCCTGTCAAAATAGACTGGACGAGACAGAAAATACAGAGAGGAGACCGGCGAAGAGTACATCCCAGCATTTTGGAATTTTTCTAATTTAAATGGATTTTGTTGATAAAATCGTTACATATGATACTTTCCTGTATTCATTCCCGTCATATTCCAAGATAAAAAGCCAATGCCTGTTTTGTTATAATTTTTATTATCATTATCATCATAATTATTATTATTATTGATTATTATTGATGATTATTATTATAATTTCTTCTTCTTATTATTATTATTACTATTATATTATTATTTTTATTAAAATTATCATAAATATTTATATTATTATTATTATTACTTTTTATTATTATTTTTAAGATGATGATGATGATGATGATTATTATTATTATTTTTTATTATTATTACTATTATTATTGTTATTTTTATTATCATTATTAATAATTTTTTATTTTTATTATAATAATAATTTTTGTTATTATTATTATTATTATTATTGTTATCATTATTATTTTTATTTTTGCTATTATTTTTATGATTATTATTTTATTATTATTATTTTTATTATAATAATTATATCATTATTAGTTTTATTTTTGTCATTATATTTTTATGATTATTATTTTATGATTATTATTTTTATATCATTATTGTTATTATTATTATTACTATTAAAATTTTTATTTATTATTATTTTTATTATTAATTTATTATTATTATTAATATTATTATTATTTTTATTATTTATCTATTATCTGTTATTATTATTATAATTATTATTATTATTATTATCATTATTATTATTTTTATTATTATTTTTATTATTATAATTATAGTTGCGTATTCCCTGCCATTTTATTTGTTTTTTGGATTTTATTTTATCCGTATATTTTGTATTATAGGTTATAAGCGTCACATCTAATAGATAGAACACTCTCCCATTTGCATAGAATGGGAATTATCTCCTATTATAAGAAATTGGATTTTCTCCCATGTATCAACATGGGACTTTCCCCCCATAATCAGAATTTGAGATTCCACCCATGGGTTGATTTTCCCCGCAACTAAAATGGGAGGATTTTTAAACATTACTTTTTATGTTTTTATTTACACAATAAAGTATTTGAAGACAACAATAATAATTTTCTTGCATAAAAGTTAATTCTTAATTTTTTCTAAATCTCTCATTATTTTTATCTCCCATTTCTATAGAATGGGAGGTAAAACCCCATATGGGATAGCAAAACCACAGTGGGAGAATGATTAAACCCCATGGGTGACTCAACTTTGATTGTCTCCCCAGCACTCATTGTTAGGGGTATGTGAAATTTAAAGACCAGTTTTTGTTTAACTTTATACCCATTGTTAACTGAACTCTTCATTTATTCTCTAAGTACTTAAGAATTGGTAGCTGAGTTTGCGAAAATCCCGGATTTGCAAACTTATTCCGGAAGCTATTCCAGATTTTTATTTGTCGAATTCTTTTATGAAAAAAAATAGAGAAAAAGATAAATAAGACGATTACATAAGCTAAGTTTTAATGAGGCGAACCGATATTCATTTTTCTGATAGGGAAAGCTTACAACATAAAATATTGATTTAAGATACAGATAAAAAATGCCTTAGGCTTAAAATTTCATACACAATGTAACGGTAAACAAACCTTTAACACACTTGAAATTGGTGATACTCCATGTTCCAGAGCTTTGACATGTCACTATACCTGTGTTGTTAAACATGTTTTTGTAACCTTTTTGGCATTTGTATTCAGCCTTGTCCCCGATGAAGAACATGTTTCCGTGTATAGTTGCATTCTCCTTTTCCCTAGGCGGACCACATCCTATTGTAAAGTAATAAAAGAGTTGCAACCTTATCTAAAGTATAAAGAGTCTAGTTACCGTCGAAAACAGTTACCCTCGATATGGATATTCAGGTCTGTAACGGAAGGCAGTGTAAGATCTTTATATTCGCACCATTGATAAAAATTTAAACATGCGTTTTAGCAGATCTGTATCTTGCATAATGATCTACGAAAAATATATTCCCAATTCAAATGTTAATAATGACGACATCTGACACACAATATGAAACAATATCCGTTCCAAAGATGTGATTTTGTGTTACATCTATCAAATTAAAAATCTCTTATATTCTAGTAATTTGTCGGCATAATAAACACTTAAAAATTTCATTCAACAACAACAACAACAACAACAACACATCTTTTATTCACTCAAACATGCATATAACATGTAAGATGAGGATAATGTCAAAATGTTTGAGGCATTTATACAAACTGAGATCAGAATATGAATATTTAACAATATAAACATATCTATTACATATTATTTAATTATATGCATATTTTGCCTTAGAAACAATTTTTTTAACTTCTTTAGAAAACATTTAAATATTGCTTAAACAGGATGTAATATATTTGTTACTAGCAGAAAGAAGCTATAAATGTGATATAATTTGTCATAAAAGTTGTAAAATGTAAATAAAGTAGTATTTTAACTTCCATACAAAATACTAATTCACTATACTTGTATTTATTTCTAAAAAGCAACAGTTGAAATGAAAGATGATTCATGTAATAAGCCAGTGATTAATCTTTTAATACTATAAAAGTACAGCAAAATCTTAGTCTTATGAGAAATTAAAATAAAAGTATAATATAGGACCTTTGCTGTATAGTAAGAAAGTGGCAAGTGAATACCAGTAAAACAAAAATATATCTCAGAGCATTACAAAATCACAACTGACTTTAAAATGAAAACATAAATATTTTATTACATTCTTACATTTCTTATAATTATCATTAAGAATTTACATAGTTTATAAAATGCAGGTGAATCTTTTATTGTAAAAAGTTGTTCTAATTTATACATATTAGGACGTCTATAAAAATAAGGTTTTATAAATTGTCTTCTTTCATTAGAAAATCTATTACATTCAAAAAGATAATGAAACTCATCACCGATTATATTTCTACAAAATTACACATTATATGTATATTTGACCAATTTCCAGTTTCAACTGGTAATCTATGGTTTCTTGTTCTGAATTTGACATAATTAAAAATCATTGCATTTTGGGAGTACGAAAGATAAGGTTCAATTTCAAAAGACTTTTTAAATTTTTTGTAAAAAGAACTATTGCTCGATTCATTTATCTTCGTACTATTCATTTAAGAAAAGATCTTTAACCTTTTGTTTTACTGTTTATTTTAACCATTTGGTACCGGGAAAATTATGATAAATCCAAACATTGTTGATACTGCATTTTATTAGTATTGATTTTTAATTATAAATCCACGGATAATTACGTTCAAAATCATTATCATTAATATCTATTGTATTTCTTAGCATATGATGCTATACAAAGTATGATAATTTATTTGGAATTAAACCATTTTCGTTCTGAAGGAGACGCGCCCAAAATGAAACTATTCTTTCCCCAATATCTACAGACAATGGCATGCATCCCGTTTTACCGTATATGAAATAAAGTTAAGGATGTGTTTTTAAAATTTGAGTTGTACGCGTTCAATTACGTCAAGATTACCGTATCCCCAGATTTCAGAAACATAAAGTAATATTGGTTTAAAAGTTTTGTTAAAAAATTCAATTGGTAAATTTAATCTATTTGAATTTCTTATCAGGCTGTACATCGATTTTGCGGCTTGTTCTGCAATATGTGTCTTCGTTTTAGCGAAAGAACCACTTCTATTAAAAAATATGCCGAGGTATTCATATTCATTTACTATTTTGATTGGTTCATTTTTATAAGTGAAATGATAATTTCTTTGTCTCCCTTTTGAAAATACAACTATCTTTGTTTTAGAAATATTGACTGTAAGTTTCCAAATATCGCAATATCTTTCATATGTATATAGTGCTTCTTTTAAGTCATTTGCTGTCTCAGCCATAATAACAGTGTCATCTGCATATAACAGAATAAAGATTTGTAAAAAATTTAAAGCTCGATTATTTTTCTGATCATTATGAAGCAAAATTCCACGAGTATTACTATTATTTTGAAAGAAATCTTTAAGATCATTCAAATACATCGAAAAGAGTAAGGGAGATAAATTTTCCTCTTAGCGGGCACCTATATTACATGAGAAAAAGTTAGATAATTGAGAATTTACCTTCACACATGATTTAATTCCTTTGTACATATTTTGTATAACCTGCAGACATTTTCCTTGTATATTAGCATTAATTAATTTTTCCCATAGACCGTTTCTCCACACAGTATCAAATGCCCGTGTTAAATCAATAAATGAGCAAAATAGTTTAATATTAATATTGAATAATACGGTGTTAAATGAATATATTATCTGAGGTTGAGAAACCTTTTCTAAATCCTGCTTGTGTGTTATTAACAATATCATTTGACTCTACATAATCAGTGATTCTTTTATTTAATATGCTTGTGAAAACTTTGCCTAGGCTACTTAATAATGTAATTGGTCTATAATTTTCTGGTTTTGCAGGATCACCCTTGTTTTTATAGATTGGATTAATGATTCCAACTGCCCAGTGTTCTGGGATTAGACCCGTATCAAGCACTACGTTGAATAATTTGACATAAACATGTTTCATCAAAGAGAGAGAGGCCTTAGTCTGTTCGTTTACTATGTTATCATAACCACTCGCTTTGTTATTTTTAAGATTATTAACTGCTTTAACGACTTCATTGATATCAATGGGCATAATAAGAAAGTTATTATTATTATCATCATTATTGCTATTATTATTATTATTACTATAATTATTATTATTATTATTGCTATTATTGTTATTATAATTATTATTATTATTATTATTATTATTATTATTGGCACCACCATTGCTTTCATCTTTACTATAGTTTACTCCTTTGAAATAATTAAATAAATCTGTTATATTTGCTTCAGTTTTATTTTCCCTTTTGCCTTTGAGAATTTTCCAGTATTTTCTAGTCATTGCCTTTTATTAGTCCCCTACCGGTTTACCGGAGGGGACTTTAGGTTTACCCTCCGTCCGTCTGTCCGTCCGTCTGTCCGTCTGTCTGTCAGTCCGTCAGTCCGTCCGTCCACAAAACTGGATCCCGCGATAACCTGAAAAGTACTGAAAATATTTTTATGAAACTTGGTATATAGATAGATGGCAGTATGGAGATTATGCACGTCTTTTTCTTTTCTTCCTATGTTGAAAATTCTGGTTGCTATGGCAACAAATAGGCTGAAAATATGGCAAATTTTACACATAAACTGGATCCAGTGATAAAGCAAAAAGTACTGGAAATATTTTTATGAAACTTGACATATGGGTAGATGGCAGTCTTGAGATTATGCACGTCATTTTCTTTTCTTCCTATGTTGAGAATTCTGGTTGCTATGGCAACAAATAGGCTGAAATTATGGCAAATTTTACACATAAACTGGATCCAGTGATAAAGCAAAAAGTACTGGAAATATTTTTATGAAACTTGACATAATTATGGGTAGATGGCAGTCTTGAGATTATGCACGTCTTTTTCTTTTCTTCCTATGTTGAGAATTCTGGTTGCTATGGCAACACATAGACTGAAAATATGGCAATTTTTACAGATAAACTAAATCCAGTGATAACTCAAAAAGTACTGGAAATATTTTTATGAAACTTGACATATGGGTAGATAGCAGTCTTGAGATTATGCATGTCTTATCTGTTCTTCCTATTTTGAAAAAATATCAGTTGCCTTGGCAACAAATAGGCTTAAAACATGGCAAATATAACAATATTTGTGATTAGTCAAAAAGAGCTGAAAATTTTTATGAAATTGCATCTTTAATTCAAGAGTTATCTCCTCTTTAAGAATTTTGCTTTTAAAATGTTATATTTTGGTAACAGGGATGTTTCAAATATTAACTTTAGAGTGTCCTTCAGTCTGTCTGTTTGTCTGTTCATAAAAACTGTTTCCTGTGATCACTTTTAAAGAACTTTTCCAACAAGTTTACTTAAAATAGAGAAAATTGAAACATTAGTGAATGGCCAATGGCCCTTCAGAATGTTGATGGGGTTCTAACCGGTAGGGGACTTATGGATTGCTTGCAATACTATGATAATTGCTTGTTTTCCTTAACTTGTAAACATTTGAATATTTGTTTTTGTCATGGAATCTCTTCATTGTAATTTCATTTGCTTTTCTTCTAAGATTTTCTTTTGTTTCATTGTTTTTTCGAAGTTTATATAAGATATTAGCAGTATGAAAATTTCTTCGTGCTTTCTTACATTTGGGTCCGAACCATGAGGGATTAGATTTATTGCTTTGTGTATCATTTGTATTATTATAATTTAATTTATAGCCAAACGCTGTACGTGATGTATCGATGAGAGTTGATATTTCGTTAACTAACATATTTAGATCATTTTGACTGATGTCATCAATTAATATTATGTTATCAAGACTGCTGTTTAACATTTGTATTTTATTTTGATCAATGATATTGATAAAGTTATCAGCCCTTTTTTGATCCCAAAGCTTCACAGTTGGAGACTCGTCGCACTGTAGTTTGATTAGATTATTTAGCTTAAATGACAATTCCAGTTCAACCGAACTATGGGCGTCTGAAAATAAGGGGCAAAAATCACATACCTGTAGGGATGTGACATACTTGAATATTTTCGAGTTACAAATAAATCGTTGATGATATCATCTAAATGCTGACTTTCGAAAAGTTCGGTATCAAGCGTTATATAATCTTTTAGACTTTTAGTTCGAGAATTGAAATCTCCAAACAAGCATATTGAATCATAACTTCTAGAGAATACGTTTAGTTCTTCTTGAATTTCTATATAAGACTCATCTACAGCATATAAGACTCATCTACAGCATAAATAGAATCATATGGTGGTATATAGACCACTGCGCATAATATGTCTGTTTCTAGTTTACATAATTCTTTCGATATGGTAAACCATAGTGCCAATTTACTTTCTGATTCTTTCAGATGGTTTGATATTTAAATGCTGAGCACTCGTGATCGAATCGCTGCTGTGATTTTTGGTAAATATCCTGTTTTAAGTCTAATATATTATCTGCATATACCTAGCAACCATTAGTTGTGCACCTATCGAGTCGCAGTGTCTAGCACTTTTGGTCAATAATATGTATACGTTTTATTTCTAACTGTTTTAACGTTCATCTCTTAATAGCTCTATGGAAATTAAGATTCTTTTAAAGTTTTGTAAAAGGTATTATGTATTTTTCCGTGACGAATCCATTATAAAATATGACTTTTAAGAAACTGAAAATGAAAGAGATTCTTAAAATATTAGATTAAAATTACAAAAAGTACAATATTTTATCTGAGCAATTCAATGGCAGAAATGTTAATTCATGGGCGTAAACAATTAAATCTTTGTCAGATTGTTTAAGTGATGTAAGTTTGAATTTCTATCTATATTTTTACTGTAATGGAGTTTTCAAGCAACGAAAACTTAATCAGTATTATATTTATTTTGAAATGTTTAATTCATAATGTACCAATGATTGATTGATTACTTTTCAGTTTAAAACTATCTACGAAAGCCTAATAGTGTCAAATGAAATAAAAAATAAAAATGCAAAGGCGTTATAACGCGAATAAAGGCATTATTACGCAAATCAAAAGGCGTAAGAACGCGAATAAAGGCGTAGCAACGCGAATCAAAAGGCGTAAGAACGCGAATAAAGGCGTAGCAAAGCGAATTAAAAGGCGTAATAACGCGAACAAAGGCGTAGCAACGCGAATAAAGGCGTTATAACGCGAATCAAAAGGCGTAGTAACGCCTTTATTCGCGTTATAACGCGAATCAAAAGGCGTAGTAACGCGAATAAAGGCGTTATAACGCGAATAAAAAGGCGTAATAACGCGAATAAAGGCGTAATAACGCGAATCAAAAGGCGTAGTAACGCGAATAAAGGCGTAGTAACGCGAACCAAAAGGCGTAATAACGCAAATTAAAACACATTATAATGCCAATTTAATACCATATTTATACTAATCAAATTCGCGAGAAAGGAAGACCAATATTGATCTGAATTTATTGCTCAAGATATAAACTCGTATACAATAATACAATATACATTTACAATAACTTTCATTCTATTTGCACAGTAATTATGCAAACTATTTGTCATAAACTAATAAAGACTCTTTAATATTTGCCAATATAAGATGACTTGGTGACTTATAGGTTATAAAGTATTACCTCCTTCAAATAACAATCCTCCTACGAAGTTTGAATATTGTGGGCCAAATGGAACTTACGTTATGCTCCCGAAACCAAATTGCTTACGGACGGACGGACAGACAGACAGACGGACGGACGCACGTACGGACGCCAGGGGGTATAACATAATATGCCCGAAATTCTTTCGGGCATATAATAAAACGTACATCTAGATCAATTCATTTAAATCAACATTGTTCTTCCTTCCACTGTTTGGAATTTATATGGTATTAAATTAGCGTTATAACGCCTTTTGTTTTGCGTTATTACGCCTTTTGATTCGCGTTATAACGCATTTATTCGCGTTAGTACGCCTTTTGATTCGCGTAATTACGCCTATTGTTTCGCGTTATTACGCGAATAAAGGCGTTATAACGCTTTTCAATTCGCGTTATTACGCCTTTTGGTTCGCGTTACTACGCCTTTGTTCGCGTTATAACGCCTTTATTCGCGTTGCTACGCCTTTTTTTGCGTAATTACGCCTTTTGATTCGCGTAATTACGCCTTTTGATTCGCGTTATTACGCCTTTTGATTCGCGTTATAACGCCTTTATTCGCGTTGCTACGCCTTTTTTCGCGTAATTACGCCTTTTGATTTGCGTAATAACGCCTTTATTCGCGTTGTTACGCCTTTTTTCGCGTTGCTACGCCTTTCGATTCGCGTTGCTACGCCTTTTGGTTCGCGTTACTACGCCTTTATTCGCGTTATAACGCCTTTGTTTCGCGTTATAACGCCTTTATTCGCGTTGCTACGCCTTTTTTCGCGTAATTACGCCTTTTGATTCGCGTAATTACGCCTTTTGATTCGCGTTATTACGCCTTTTGATTCGCGTTATTACGCCTTTTGATTCGCGTTATTACGCCTTTTGATTCGCGTTATAACGCCTTTATTCGCGTTGCTACGCCTTTTTTCGCGTTGCTACGCCTTTCGATTCGCGTTGCTACGCCTTTTGGTTCGCGTTACTACGCCTTTATTCGCGTTATAACGCCTTTGTTTCGCGTTATAACGCCTTTATTCGCGTTGCTACGCCTTTTTTCGCGTAATTACGCCTTTTGATTCGCGTAATTACGCCTTTTGATTCGCGTTATTACGCCTTTTGATTCGCGTTACTACGCCTTTATTCGCGTTAATACGCCTTTTGATTCGCGTTATAACGCCTTTATTCGCGTTGCTACGCCTTTTTTCGCGTAATTACGCCTTTTGATTCGCGTAATTACGCCTTTTGATTCGCGTTACTACGCCTTTATTCGCGTTATAACGCCTTTGCATTTTTATTTTTTATTTCATTTGACACTATTAGGCTTTCGTAACTATCTTTTGCTAAACAAAATATCAGATGCTTCAATAGATAATGTCACAATCATAAAGCTTAGAAACAGAAGTAGGTCGTAATACTGACATTGATAGAAATATTCAAATATATAAAATATGTTCCAGACAATTTTTTTATCTGAATATATGTTCCTACTCCGTTATTAAAGGTATTTAGATCTACATAATTATATTTATGCACATACCTTTATATGTGTTGACCACATTATTTAAACATATTGTAAATGGTCGAAATCATTTGAAATGCCGATTTGCAAATATATGAATGGAATGAATAAAATATGTATTTTATGTTCTATCAGTGGTCACAAAACTTAGTTGCTGCCGTTAACTGACTTATATTTATCTAAATTACCTGAGTTTTGACATTTCTGGTCTACATTGCATTCTCCAGAATGATTACATAATTTACACACCTCATACTCGTCCTGAAATTATATTGTTGTACCAAATATAATTATATCTTAATAATTGCTATTGATATTATCTCATATGTATAAACATGTAGCATCAATGACAACAACAATGTTAAAAGGATTTCTAAGTGAACAAATCTTTACTAGAATGGAAAGAAAATGTACACACAATGAACGAACTAAACATATACAGCAAGCAAACAATTCAATTGAAAATAGAGGTTATATAACAAATACGGTTTATATTTCTTTTGTTTGCAACACAAGAATTTAATATTAGATCTGACGAAATAATGATTTGAAATAAACCAGTGAGGTAATATTTCAATAAACAAGGCATCTGTCTCTCAACAAAGTATTAGTACTCGTTAGTTTGTATCAATAGACATACTCAGGAATTAAGAATATTTGGGGTTTGTCTAGCTAATAACGTAGGTACAAACAAACTTTAACAGCAACAGCTTCGAAAATAAGCAAGAACAGATTAACTTATCTATTGTGACGGGTAGTGCACTAGCTATAGGAAAATCCACTTTGCCGAATTCCGGATAACGACTATTATAAGTGATTTTTGCTACCTTTAATTTAGTTTAAACATATTTTATTCCTTTCAATTTTTTACAATATGTACAATGCAAATATATAGAAAGAAAAATATATAAATACATTTTGAAAGAAAAAGGGTTGGACCACAAGTTCAAATAACATTAGTAAATCGGTCCGTCCCTAGTACGAATATAAAAAAGTATTGATACTATAGATTACATTGAAATGGCATTGAGAAATATAACAAAGTACATGTATTTTAGGAACAAGAAATGTTAGATCATTTGCTGAGAGAGAGAGAGAGAGCTACCTTTAATGACTTTATTGCTGGTAAATGAATAAGATTAAGTCACTTTATAAATCTTAATATATTTCGATTCTTACAGACTCTTTTTGCATATTGCTTGTTGATAAAAGTTTTTAAAATACATTCAAACCAGTTTATATCTGTCTTGCCAATTTCGATTTACAACGACATGTACATGTAATTGGCATCGCGTAATTTCAAGTGATATCATAACCATTCAAGAGTTAATGTAAAATCAAAACATACATAGCACAATGTCACTTTAATTGTTAATGTAAATATATTTTTTTAAATATAATTTTTGTATTCGTCTTCCTCACTGTTACAGGGGCAGTCAAAAAATAATGAAACCTGCAGTGCATAACTCGGTGATTTTAATAATATTAATTAAGTGGACATTTCTGGGTATATTTATTGACCCATTATACAAAAATTATTTCCCTTACAGGAACGATAAATGAGCCGCGCCATGACAAAACCAACATAATGGGTTTGCGACCAGCATGGATCCAGACCAGTCTGCGCATCCACGCAGTCTGATCAGGATACATGCTGTTCGCTAACCAACCCTATTACAAGTAGAGAAACTGGTAGCGAACAGCATGTATCCTGATCAGACTGCGCGGAGGCGCAGGCTGGTCTGGATCCATGCTGGTCGCAAACCCACTATGTTGGTTTTGTTGTGACACGGCTCAAATGTTTTAGTGAGTTAATAAAATAGTTCAGCATTTTATCGGAGTTACTTAACTTTATTAAACTACTATCATTTTGATCAAACTGTCACGATTTTACAGAAATTCGGTAAGAAGTTACTACTGTTATTTAAAGGAACTTACTAAAGAACGAAAGCCTAACAACATAAAATTTGAATAAAAGATCGGCTGCGGCACTTAAAACAGAAAGATATTTAAAAGATGATTAAGAATTTATATAGTCAGAAATAAATTGAAAATTCAATTACTGTTATGTTCATTGCACGATTTGAGTGAAAAAACGTTACAGAACGCTTTTCATATTTTTGTCATTTTTCACAATTAGAATACATATTCTGGAAGAAATGAGTGTACGAATTATTTGAAATTTTACATAAAAAATTGTTTATTTAGAAATTCATCAACTAGAATATTGATCTCAAAAATTATTTCCATTCCCCTCATATCAAAGATACCTTAGTGGAGTCCCTTTTAATCTCATTTTAATTATGCTTAAACCTCACCAAATTCCAGTCCTTTTTCTTTCCAAGAACGTGTCCCTTTTTCTTCTCTATCTTTTCATCGGGATCATCTGAAACATTTTTTTCAACTCCAATAAGAGAGCACATGTTCGCATTAACTTCGAAATTAATGTATTCGCACATTGCCTTTGTCTTACAACTTTCTATACAATGGTCAAGTCCCTTCATTAAAATAGTTTCAAAAATGTAAATATTTTTTGGATACTCAGTGTCTATCTTTATCCATCTTGAGAAATGTGTCTTGTTCGCAAAACACATGTTTGTAACTAAGAAACCTAAAAGCAATACATTTCTGTAAAAATGATTTATTGTTTTAAATTTCATTGCTACGGAAATGTAGTGTCCTCTTCATGAGCAAAACAAAAAATGAGTTACAACAAAAGTTTATATTTTGTTATGTATCCTTTGACAACGTAAATACATTATGATGGATTTCGCGGACGACGAATAAACTGCATATCATGTTAACATTTGTTTTGCATATATAAATAATGCATTTTGGAGTTCTGTCTAATCGATATGATGTAATGATACATTCATTAATATATAATAAGTTTATATAAACTGCATTGTTGGAAATAAAACAATAACGTCATTGATTTTAGCGTATCGATCAACTATCTCTTAGTAATATAGAAAGCTTTGAATTGTCATGTCAGAGAAGTCATTTTTCCGACTTCTTGCCGCTGCTTCCCCTGAATTATCAGGTAAAAGATTCAGTAATATTGTAGTAACGCCGGGCTGATCCGACTCATAATGAACTCTTTATTAGTACGACAATAAGGATTTGAAAACAAATTACAAATAGTAAATAGAAAGATAGCTAAATATATGTTCGATCAACGGAATCAGATCTTTAAAGCATGATTCAAATAAGCCGTATCTTATAATAAATAGATTCAAAACAAGAGGACAACATCCAGAAATATCTATTTTACCTATTATTGTAAAATGTTGAAAATTTTCACAAAACAGTTGAAAAGACCGACACAGGAAATTGCCGTCTGTTACACAAAAAGGGGAATTTTAATTTGAGTGATTCCAGTTTGGGTTGTTCATGACTAAAGCATTTTTTATGAAAATTTTGTAGAAGTTTTCCTGTCAGTTCTACATACTAGTACTTAAGATCTAAGCTCTAGGCATTATAGTTTTCCATAAGAAGATTAAAATGTATAGTTTATATGAACTGATGTCTATAAAAAAGTGACACCGAGGGCGGGGCAAATCGTAGCTCAATATCTATGCTTTAAGGAGAAAAGCATAGTGGTGGACTTCTTCGATTCAAAGTATTTACAGAAGGGAATGTAATGTAAAGATCTGGAAGAAGACAGAAGAAATAATGTTATATCTGAATTTGAGTTCATCTGTCAGCTTCCAATTCAATGGGTAGACTATAACAGGTTTGAGACTTCAGACGATAATATTTGGTATTTGACTGAAATAGACAAAGTCCTTGAAAAGGACATCTGTTTTAGAATCGATATAAATAAACAAGGCAGCTCTTGATTTCTATAGCAAACTATCGATCTATATCGTCTTGTAACATATACTTTAAAGATTAATTATTAAAATTAAAATCAATTCACAAACAATAAACAATAATTTCATACATGATAACACATGATCTATTCAATATGCATTGTACTTGTTCCAATACTCATTTATTCTTTCCGGGAATTTATTTATCACTTTGTTATTATTTCAGATAGAACTTTGTGCTTTTACATTATAGCCACAAAAGATGACACACTTTACGTACGTTGGCTGATATTTCTAAGTTTGCATACTAGGTACAAATAAATCTATATGCATAAAAATAAATATTTTGCAATTATGGTTTTGATTTTTAATTTAAATGAATGATTATGAATAAAAAAGATTAAATAAATAAATTAGAAAATTTGGTCCGAAGATTTCTATTCCAGATAAACCACCGAAAAACAAATTAATACACATAATCTTAAGACACTGCGAAAAATGAAATGTATGTTATATAGGTAGGTTTGTAATTGGTATCAATCCGAAGCGCTTTGATCACAGTCTCAAAGCGTTTTTATATTGGAAATTCATTCATTTCAATAAAAACTGACACAGCACATACATGTATATAACCTTAGGGAATGTTGATAACCTATAATTTGTTAAAGTTCTAGTCTATAAAATGGTGATTATTTAGGCATTGAAGCACTTTGAACATTAAAGAACTATTCTTGCTACAAAAAGCCTATAAAAAACAACAACAAAATTACAGCCATTTTCTAATTCATTATTTACCAACAGCTCTTGGATAGTTTGTGTATAGTGTTCTGAACAATTACTTTGTTCATGTTCAGCAATAAATATTGTCAATAGATTATGAATTATAAAATACAAAGAGGAATTCTACAATTAAAACTACAAAACATCGCATGAGATATGATCAAATTCTCTCTAGGGAAAATATATATTACCGTTTGAAACAGTGTACGCTGACATTCATGCCAGCTAGAAAGATATCATTTTAATTATTTACGTATATAATTAACATTATGACGACTCATATAATAGCGGATAGACTTTCAGAATTTATACACATGTTCAAACCAGGACCAGGATGCATTTGATGATACCCATTACATTCAATCAAAAACAAACAAACTTCTATTGAAAACAATTTGAATGATCCATTATATAAGCAAAGCGTATATGTTTAAACATATGGAGGGCGTTCGTTGCCAAAATTCCAGACATGTAAAGTGTTCCTTTTTAAAATGACTTTTGAAAATGCAATCTTGTATGCCTACTATTTTTTATTGAACCCGTGCATAGCACATAATATGCCTCTTGATTCAATTTAAATTGAAGGTTCCCGACTTTATATTACAAGTTTACATATAGATCGTAACAACTGACCTAACATCTAAAACGACAACAAATTTATAAGTTCATATCTTCCATTGCATGCAATACATATGCATGTTTGCACACTTATAGATCTGAAATATACAAATGAAATGTAAATCTTAAATACAGAAAATAGAGTTTAAGAAAACATGTTACCAGCTGTAGAACTACAACAGTACGTTAACACAGTAACATGTTTAAAATGACAAAAGTAGATTCACAAAGTTAAACGATTTTAAGTCAAGCATAACGCCCCGCCCCTCTCGGAGTATTTACGAACTTCTATTGCGGACAGGTATAAAACGGCGCCTCTCCCATATTTCTAAATAAAATTGAAGGACAACATACCGCATTTTTCATAACATATATTTGTTATATTTGTTACAAAAGTTTTGTCACTAGCAACATCACTTGACAATTGATGATTTTACCATTTATGATGAAGATCTATAACTTATGCATTAACTTATTATTTAACATTGTGTTTTCCTGAGAAACAGCGGCGATTTGGAAATTTTTAGGGGAAACAATGACCAACTTCAAGGGAGTAATTTTATTGATAATCTAAAAATCATCCAATATTTTTATTGGTATCATTGAAAAATGTATTGGCACAAATTTCATTGTCAACAAAAACTATGCAAGTATTTGCAAAAATAGGATTTTAAAGCGGCCACCGAGATTTCCTTTCCGAAATCAAGAAAATACTTATCCGTAGCACAATGTACAATCTTTAATAGGGTATTTTCAGTATAAATAAAAAAATTTTGCACTTGTTCATTATCCCTCATGTACAGACTCAATCAAACCGAGTCTGAAATTCTTATGTAATTTTGTTGTGATTAATGATTCCGATGGATCACTTTGTTTCCAGATTTGTATACAGCAGGTGTCAAGTGCCGCGTGGCAGCTGTGAAAAGTTGCCCCGTACTTCACTTCATTGTTGTTATATTTTTCTGGTCCTTCGAGATCATTGATGCCAGCGCTATTAAGTGTTGATAATTGAGAACCGCTCAAGCCGGTGCTAGGGGGCGTGAGGGATGTTGTACTTGTTCATTATCCCTCATGTGCAGACTCAGTCAAACCGAGTCTGCAATTCTTATGTAATTTTGTTGTGATTAATGCTTCCGAGGGTCACTGTGTTTCCAGATATTTGATATACTTGTTCAAAGCTTATGGTCTTAACTTCATTCAATATTCATTTTCTTTTTTGAATAAAGTATCTAAAGGAAGCGACGTGATTTTCTTGGCGAATATATGAGTGTGGTTTTAAGAGAGAAAAAATAAACAACGATAAGTTTGAAACAAAATTTTTAATAATTCTACGTAATAAATTTTCATTTTTAAGGCATCACTAGAAAGTTCATGAAGGATTCTTTTACTTGTGTCTAAAATTATCAAAATTGACCAAGAAATAAAAAAAGTAAGTAGAGGGCGCCATGTTTCTCTTACTGAATTTCAGAGTGTGTTTTGTTTTTTTACTTGCATATTCCGTTTTTCATGGAATGGTACTTACGTGTCACATCGAAGGTTCCATGATAATCACCATATTAACACATCTGCGGATGTTTCAAAATTCAAAATTGTACCAGTTAATGTTAAATGTTGAATTTTGCTTAAGCCGGTGCTAGGGGACGTGGACGGTACTTTGCACTTTCCATTACCGTCCATGAACAGGCTTAATCAAACCGAGCCTGCAACATTCTCAATTTTGTCGTTTTGAGCGTTCTTTAGGGATTCTTATTTTCTCTATTTTACAGAAAGTAACAAGATATACTTTTAAACAAAAAGTTAATTCATTTTGATTTTATTCATTTTTATTTTTAGGCATTATATATTCATATATTCATATATCATAAATCGTATGAAGCACACTTTTATTTCAATCCAAAATTATCAAAATTGATTACGAAATAAAAAAAGTTTGGAAAGAACGCCGCGTTTTTTGTTTTTTTTACAAATTTGAGGGTATTATTTTCAGAGGAAAAATGATAAATTTTGAAACAAAAATTTCAATACATCTATTTAATTCATTTTTATTTCTGAGGCACTCATAGAAAGCTTATGGAGTAATCTTTCATTTGATACCAAAAACATTTGACCTTTTATAGAAATAAAAAAAGTTAGAATGGACGCCGTGTTTTCCTTCACTTTATTGAGAAATAGGAGAGAGGCGACGGGAATTATACCTGTCCGTACATTTCCGTAATAACTCAGAGAGGGGCGGGGCGTCATGCATGACTTAAAATCGTTTAACTTTGTGAATCTACTTTTGTCATTTTAAACATGTTACTGTGTAAACGTACTGTTGTAGTTCTACGACTGGAAACACGTTTTATCTGTATTCGAGTTTTACATTTCATTTGTATTTTTCAGGTACAGATAGATATCTACAAGTGTGCAAACATGCCTATGTATTATATGCAATGGAAGATACGAACTTGTAATTTTGTTGTTGTTCTCCATGTTAGGTCAGTTGTTAAGATTTACATGTAAACTTGTTATTTAAAAGCGGGTGCCTTCAATTAAAATATTGGATTAAGAGGCATATCATTTGCTGTGCATGAATACAATCAAAAATGCTAGACCTACACGTTCGCATTTTCAAAAGTAGTTTTCAAAAGGAACACATTACATGTCTGGAATTTTGGCAACGATCGCCCTCCATATAAACATTGTGCACATGCTATAATTTTGTGTAAATTGTTTCTTTGTAGATATATTTCTTTTGCATGGAGCGAACTGAAGTATTTGTATCACTGTATTGTAAAAATCAGACTTTTTACAAGATTCATCAATTTCAGATATCAAATCCTGAAAATGTACAGCTATGTTTTAAAAAAGAGGATCTTTCGCTTCCCTCACAACGTGAATATATTCACCGTATTATTTGTTTACATTATTTACATCACATTTTATTAAATTATCATTTAAAACAGTCAATTTTGCTATTATTCCAGAATGATATAATTCTTTATCATTATCGCTCCATTTGATATACTCATAATTAAATACTTTGGATCCATTTGCGTTAACTGTCAAAATTTAAAGCAACATGGTCGCTGAATTCATTAAAATTACAAACATGAAAATTGTTTATCTTTTCAAAATCTTTTCACACAATAATAAATATCTATTAAGTTTGGACCATTGTTATTAATTAAAACATGTTTAAACATCTTTCATAAGCGACAGTTTGTTATGCTATGGAAATACATGTATTACCATATGAGTTACTCCGCTTGTCCATTGGAAATCTTGGCATTGGTGTATCGACGAATCGACGACAAAGGCTGAATTCTCAAAATAAAAAAAATCCCTCGCATCTTGAGGGAGAATTACCTTTTTAAAAACATTTTTTTTGCTTCGCATCTGGAGGGAGATATACCTTTGAAAACTTTTTTCCGCTCCCGCATCTTGGGATAGATACACCTACTTTTTTTCAATACATGCTACCCGATATTTATTCAAAATATTTGAAATGCGAGTCTTGTATTATGTTGAAAGGGAAATATTTTTTATTGGTCTATGGGTGACCTTTGTATGCTTTGCCTTTATTTCAACAGTCATTTATTGAACAACTCGTTCAAGCTACATAGTGTCAAGCTTTCTTAATATACAATGCTGATCAAGTCTTAAAGTGATTCCATTTTCGGAAAATTTAGATTCACGGAGGCCGTGTTGATTACGTTTTAACAACGTGCCAATAAATTGTTACCACAACATATGTATCCATCCAATATCTTTATCCAACAGTCATCGTAAAAGAAAACCGAATTGGGATAAAACAAAACAGATAAGAACAAAATTTTATTTTCAGACATTTGCATAATCTTAACTTAAACATAAGAAAATAAAATAAAATAAATAAAAGTATTACCCAGAGTTATTTTTACGATTAAACGTTCTTGCATATATTTATAATAAACTTTATAAAAACATTTTTTTTCATGAAAGTAGATCACAGATTCTCTAACATTATAAAACTATGAAAGAAAGAACAAATGCACAGATAAAGAGATATTCACTCGCTATGTCAAATGCATTGCGACAATAAACAATGTCACTGTTCAAAAGGTGTATTACAAAGTATTATATTGATTTACAAAAAGTAAGATCCATGTTTACAGTGAAACTCGATTTTAGCAAACCTGCCGGGACCACTATATCCGAGGTTTCTTATAACAGGTTTATGACCAGCTTATAAAAAAGCGACCAAAATGTTTAAACATTTTACATGTAGAATATGTGGATCATATAATTCTTTTAACAAATAATAAGTTTTTTATGTACAAATAGCTTAACAGTACTTTGAGATATGTATCATCGTATTTTTAATCTTACAATTTTAGAATTATATATACGTATATGCAATGAGGATATATTACTTCTAATTCGATACACATAACTAGAGGCAATTATTAACAGTATACCGTAATTACTGTTAAATACCATGTTGAACAAAGCATTTTGTATTACCAATGGTGACATGTGAAATCGTCAGCCGATAAAATAATAATCTAAAAACGGACTGAAAATATTAAGACTTTGACACGATTTACCACAATAGTTAACCTTTTTATACATATCTGTAATAATTATAAAACTCTTAATGTTAAAATTATAAGTTTTACATTTCAATCTTTTAATATGTATTTTTGAATGAATTCGCATTAGCTAACAAAATTTGTGGTTTAATAAATGTTACTTTAGTTTATTTTTCGATGCCAAATTGAGTTGAATAGTTATATATTTCAAAAGATTGTGATTGATGCATAATTGATAAAGAAAATTGTTGATAATACAATATATTTACTGTCTTAATTAAACAAAGACTCTTTTAAAGAATTGAGCTTTACCGATTGATTAATTTTATTATTTACCTTTGATCACGTGGATTATAGTTTACCCCCTTGCACAATATATAAAATTGGACATTATTATGACAAAATATCAAATTAATGTTAGTTTTAACTATTCACTGACCATTTACACTTTGATTGGCATAATTGAACAAACGTGTGAACCCCCGACTAAGTTCATGCCGTAACAAAACTCTACAATACTTACAAACAACAACAAGAAAAGCATTGATGCAAAGCATCAAAGGCGACAAGGCGACACCAAAACATTGATCAAGATTTGCACCTAAATACTTAACAATAGATGTATACTTTATCTTTATATCAGTACCATAACATATGACATGGAGGCCAAGTTTAAAGAATAGACTCTGTCTTGCCAAGATGCAAAGACAATTTATAGTTAGTTAACCAATCACTAATAAGACTCATGCCATAAGAGAGATTTTTTCAGTTTTATTTGACAAGATACAATGAAACCTGAGTCATCAGCATATAATTAAAAGCTTGTTGTCATGTCATTGTTATATATTAGACATAAAAGAGGACCTAAATTAATCTCAGGGGGGATACCATAGGTACTCTGAGCAGTATAAGTAAAATGAGAACCAGCCACATCCAACAGCTACTGTCTATCAGAGATTCTATCAGAGATAAATAAATACGGTATTACGTACATCCTATTAACATATCGGCTTAAATTTTCTACCTTTCATTTTTACTAAAGTTTATTTTATTAACAATTTATATATAAACACGTAGAAAATAATAATTATTTCACATAGTGATTAGAAGATCCTGTATCAGAATACCTGTAGGTATGTACTAACTGAACAAACTAGAAAAATCCAGTCTAAGGTGTATATAAAGCCAGTTAAAAAAATCTATCAATATTCACTTCTCAGGGCCTCTATGCTTTTGATGACCTTACAACCGGTAAATTTTATACAACAAAAATAGTAAGTAATACCTAAAATAGAACAAATAATTTAGTAAACATGAGTTACTTCCCCTTAAAATAGAGAAAACCTGACACGCAAAAGAACACCTCAACAGCAAAATTATGAAATGTTGCTGGCTAAGTTTTATTAAGCCATGCAACGTAATGGTAAAGTATTCATAAAAAATTAGATGGCCATGTGACAGCAGTAAATGCAGAAAATCGGATAGCTTTCCACATCCGGATACTGGTACACTTTGTAAAACAATCATTATGTGCAATTTATAATACTGCACGTTTGTAACGTCATTTTTCATTTGGATAATCGTGATCGCCAATAATATGATAGATTTTTTTCTCTCAGTTTTATATATTATATTCACATAATTAAACAATGGCTGAATAGAAATTTTCTATTATTGCATAATGCAATCATATGTTGAATTTACAAAGACTTTTTAATTGATAATCATAACATCTTGCATCATGCCACATATTATCAGTCCAAATTGCCAAACAATCTGCATTTCCATTTGGTTGGTTCGGTCCCCAATTGTTATACAAGGGACCAACTTGTGTACCATCCTGCCAACGCCAATCTCGTTTATCATCTAAATTCCCTCCTATCCACATCCTTGGCGCTAAATCAAAATAAAATTGGAAATACATGTACACCAATTTGTAAATTAATGACCAATGACTTTTGTGACATAATCATCCAAGTTTTTTTAAAAGCAAATCAAGATAATTCAAAACAGAATCATCAGCTATTAAAATTAAATACACAGTTGCGCTGTAATATTGCATTTAAGTTCAAGTTACCGTATATCTAGTAACAGCAAAATGTCTTATCATCCAATCGATTGCGGTGATCAAGTGTGAGGACGATTCATTAAAAAATAAAGAAGTTGAAATTTCAACAATTACACCTTCAAGGTTAAGGCCATTTGAGAGTCAATGTTAAAGTTAATTTGACCTTTATAACAGTCAGGTCGTTAAGGATGTTTTGTCTAAAATTGATGACAATCCACTTATAAATAGCAAATTTATTGCCAGTTATAGTTAAATAAAGATCAGTAGAATTCTATAATTTGACCTTAATGGTCAAGGTTGTTTATGACATTAAGTCAAGGTCAGTCTGGGCAACTTAAAAGGGTATTGCAAAGAATTGTTGTATCAAAATATGAAGACGATTGATTAATTTACAATAATGCTATATCCACTTGGGTACAATTTTTAGATATTTAAAGTTTAAAGACCGCATAACTAATTGTACTTATCATTTATGAAACTTGACATAGACAGTTACATAGTGATATTGCACTTAATTGTCTAGTTTCAAGTTAATACTTTTTACCAATATATAAGATATGACGAGACGAGACAAAGTGATTACTATAAAGTGCCCATTCAAAAGTGTTAGGTGGTGTGTATAATAACATTATCTGTAAATGACCATTGATTTCTATGAGTTCAAATATGAATGCAACTTGGCCAATATGTGGCTTTTAACCACGTTTTGCACAAAATATGTACATGTATCGCATAGATGGTTGGATAAGCTCTCAATTGATACATGTTTAAATCATTACAGTCCATTATTGACTATAGTTCGATTAACGCTTTCTACTTGTGAATATTAAAGCTACAATTGTTAGGAAAATACGGTCCTATAACAAAAATACGGTCCTATAACAAGAACTGCTGTATTATTGGTATACATGCGAAAGCCATAATATTATTCAATGAAATATGTCGGGTTTTATAGAAACAATGAACTTTCGTTTTCATCTGTCACACGGTGGTGTAATAAATTTAAAAGTGGTGTGGATTCAGTTAAAAATGCAACTCATGCATGCCGTTCTGCAACTTAGCCAAAAATGGTTGAAAAAGGATTTGATGCTACTGATGCAAGATTTACAACTAAGCATATAGCTAAATGTGTATTATCTTTGTAGGAGCCGCTCATACAATTCTTAAAAGTGATATAAATATGAGAAGGATCAGTGCCAGATGAATACCCATCTCCGTACAAAATTGTTTTTTTGCATTGTTTTACTTTTATGAGCCCAACCGTAGATACATAACAAAATATGGGCAATCGAAGGAAGTCAAAGACCTTGCATAGCAAAGCGCACCATGAGCGTTAAAAAGGTCATGTTTGAAATTTTCTTTTCCAACTAAGGTCCTGCAATTCAAATTGCTATACCAAAGGGTAAATATGTAAATGCCAAGTTTTACAAAGGCAAAGTCATTCATAAATTAAAGAAATATTTCTAAAACCGTCAACCAGTAACCGGCCCCGTGGAGTCGTGGAGGTTGTTGTTGCATGACAATGCTTCGTCACACAAAGAGGCCACTGTAGGAGAATATCTGAAACAGGAAAAAGTTGCCGAGTTCCCCCACCCTCCTTATTCGCCAGATATTTCCCCTTGTGACTTTTTCCTATTTTCGAGGCTAAAAACATCTTGCTGGAAGAAAATATCAAGAGTTTGGCTATGTTTCAGTGTCTGAACAGTATACCTTGAAAAGATTATGAAAATGGGTCAAAGTCAGAAAAGGCCGGGTTGCATTTGTATACCAAATATCATGATGCTGTGATGTTTCGAAAACAAAATTTACCACTGACCATTAATGTCGAAAATTTAACTAAGTCGGTATACAGGAAGTGGATGGGCAACAGACCTAAATTAAAATCCCAAGGTATGGAACTACATGTCAATGCTGTATGCCAGGTGTAGGTGCTAAGAAAATTGTTACGATAATTTCCTACCATTGACCAATAATGTCGAAAATTTAACTAAGTCGATAAGCAGGAAGTGGATAAGGGACAGACTTGAAATCGAATCCCAAAGTATGGGATCACTTGCCAATACTGTATGCCAAATATCAAGAGGCTGTGATAAGTATTTGCTAAGAAAACTGTAACGAAAATTTCCTACCATTGTCCATTAATGTCGAAAATTTAACTTAGTCGATAAACAGAAAGTGGATGAGTGACACACCTGAAATCAAATCCCACAGTATGGGACCACGTGTTAATGCTGTATGCCAAATATCAAGATGCTGTTATAAGTACTTGATGAGAAAATTGTTACGAAAATTTCCTAACATTGACCATTAATGTCGAAAATTTAAGTAAGTCGATTAACAGGAACTAAATAAGCTACAGACCTGAAATCGAATCCCACGGCATGGGACCCTGTGTCAATGCTGTATGCAAAATATCAAAAGGCTGTTATTAGAAGTTGCTGAGAAAACTGTTACCATTGACCATACTTTTGAAAATTTAACTAAGTCGATAAACAGGAAGTGGGTAAGTGATACGGTCACCAGTCAATGCTGTATGCCAAATATCAAGAGGCTGTGATAAGTAGTTGCTAAGAAAACTGTTACAAAAATTTCTTATCTTTGGCCATTAATGTCTAAAATTTAACTACGTCGATTAACAGGTGGGTGAGTGACAAATCTGAAATCGAATCCCACAGTATGGGACCTTGTGTCAAATCTGTTTGGTAAATATCAATGCTAGAGGCTGTGATAAGAAGTTGCAGAGAAAACTGTATCGAAAGTTTTTTACCGACCGACCGCCTGCCGCCCGCCCGCCCACTGCCCATCATTCACCATACTATAATCCGGGTTTGCACATTGCAACCCGGTCAAAATGTATTTAAAAATTGGGCTAAAAGACTAACATTTTAAAATGGTGGTGAATATTTTGAAGGATTGAGATAATAAATTTGCACTGTTTGTTAAGCATTTCTGAAAATTGACCCAGATGCATTCATATTTGAACATCCCTTGTAATTATCTAAAATAGATTGGAAGGAAATAGTTGTTCGTTTTTTTGTTACTTTTAAGACAAATTTTGGCATTAAACGTAAAAACATCGGCGCTGAAAGAGTAAATGATTTGTTTTTCTTGTCCGTAATGCGGTGAAAGAAAAATCGACAATTTAAAGACCTCAATGTACATATTTAGATTCGTAAAAACTAACAACTAACTGTATGTACATGTATATGAATTAATTGTCTTACACAGTTGTACTGCTTTTGTTCAAGAAGAGGAGTATTTGAATACATGTATCAATAGGCATTCGCACGGAGGCTTAAATTATCAAAAACTCGCCTTAAACTCGTGTGTATTTCAAAAAAAGTTAAGATTTAGAATATCAGGTATTGCTCGTAGTTAACTGAATACTTACGGTAGATATTAAGAACAGTCTGTGTAATGAACAAATTTTCTTGTTGAGTTTTAATATCTGTGAGAAACCCACCATTTTCAACACAATATCTCTACATGTAAAAAGAATTGTGTATTATTCATAATTCAATCAACATTTTAGCAAATGAAAGATTCTATATAAGTTAAACGATAAAAAATAAAATGAAAGATATAGGACGATTGTCGAAATAAATGCCTATCAATACGAGTATAACCCAAATAAATAATTCATTTTGACAAAAATGTATCTGTTCAACAATTGGTCAAAATGAGCGTTTTTCTTCATAATGAATGACATTCAATTAATTATACAAACAAAAACAGAAAAAAGAAACACGAGCCGGTTTAATCGGGTGATGCTCTCCGAATCGGATTTAGGCACAGTGAATGCTTTCTTTATGATATGTCATATAGTTTCAGAGTTATGTCCAAGACAATGTCCAAAGTGTGAAAATGAAAAGGGCAATTTCTTCAAATTTTAACAAGGCAGAAACACTGTTTTTATGTTCTGCACTACTATTTAATGAGATCTATCCACTTACTAAAATTCTTGTTGGTACCTCTTGTAATTTTAGAGGTGAGTCCCGGATAAAGATCAAAGTGTAAAAATGGAAAAGGGCTATAACTTTTAAAGTAAGCAAGGCAAAGTTACGGTTCTTATGCAATGTCCTTTAATTCATGAGATCGTTTTATACACAGGCACTAGACACAATTATTTTACCCATATACGCTCATAATACTATTTATAAAGAATAAAGGCCCCTAACGAGAGAAAACTATCATGCAAAACAAACAAAAACTGTTCTGTAAAAATACACCAGATCACTATTTTGTCTTTGTGGTCGTCTCTAGGGGTAATTTATCCTATCATAAACACTTTTTACTTCATCGAAATCCCTCAAAATGCTCCAAAATACGAGCAAGTTTCCAAATTTTACTGAAATGTCATTGCATGTCGTTTCCGACGTCCAAGCGATGCGAGTAAACAAAGGTGAATTCTGGTCAATTTCTACAAAATCAACGAATAACTGTTAAAATTTTCATATACTTTCTTTAAAACAACTTGTTTACAGTCAAACTGCAAAGTCTTTACTTCTCAACTGCCCGATGATAACGCCAACAAGCTAAAATAATAAAAATCATTGACAGCTCCGTACCAGAAAGTATCCATTTCCTACTTTACCGCGCTGAATATAACGTCAAGTAACGATTGGTTAAGCGGGAAATCCGAGTTCTTCCGATTTCGCGCTAACCAATCGTTACATGACGTTATGTACACTGCAATTTTACTTAATTAGATCAATCTACCTTAAAAGTGTCTTGTTGATACATTTTGTAGTTTCATAGTTATGTCTCTTATGTCTCGGACAAAATGTGGACAGGCGGACATACAGACAAACAATTAGAAACTATATGAACATACCAAGAAAAAAGAATAAAAAAATACATTAACTTTATTATTAAACGTGTATCCGTTAACTCGAGGCAAATTTTTCTTCCATATCTCCAGGGACTAAAATACCTGATATAACATTCAAAGTTCAAAATCATAATATCATAATGAGGGTTGGTACTGATATTTGTTGTGAAGCTTCGTGGCATTCCAGCCAGAAGTTTGACATTAAAAGCCGGATAATTATTTACATTTTTAGCGCTGGTGGTATAGCGAAACCTTCAAGTACAATGAACAATACAGGTTGGTATAAATTACTCCCGGGAAGTTTCATCCCGCCAGCAGTTTGACCTGTAAAGTCGAACTTACAATAGCGAAAAAGAAGAACATACGTGCTAACATTTTAATACTTAGATGGCTTTTAATGCTCTCCCTATATTTTTTTAAGCCACAAAAGGAAAACATAGTCACGAAAGAGCTTATGGAATAGATGACATTGAAGAAAAAGTACAGTTATCTATTGTTCTTGCAGCCACCTAGGTATCCAAATGTATGCACGGACAGACAGGCGGACGGTGAAGGCAAGATTAATAAATTAATTATATCAATACATAATTATAAACAAGTATTAATTCAATGATAATGAATTTTAGTAACTTCTGTAACACATGTACGCTAAATTTCAAACTTCACTTCTAAAATTAAAAGAAACCCCAACACTTCCTTTCATTTCGAAAGGTGGACTGACAAAGCATACTTACACGTCTTGAAAAAATAACAGTTACCTCTTCGGAGGAACATGTATACGATTAATCGTTTCATCTCGTATTCCGAGCTAGTGTATGTCGCCGAATTTTAACAAAGGTACAGTGTTGTCTTATACATGTATATTTTTGTAAACTCTGCATTCAAAGACTGCTATACCATGTAAGTTGATAAAGTTATATTTGAAGTAAAATGTTTCTCGAATTTAGCGTTGCATTGGACTGTTTTATCATGGGATAATTGCTTTTGCCTCAAATTTTATATAGTTAAAATCTAACGAAATATATGATAGACTGCTTGTCGTGAAAGAGGTAGTCATGTCGCAAAGGAGATAACTCTTAGTGATAGGTTTGAAAAATCTTATATTTTTATATTATTTTCATATTGAATAATTTTATATGTTAAACTTTTCTTCTTACACGCGCAAGAGCTATTTACCGCTTATTACTTTAAATAAATTCGCCATACACGTGGTGGTAATTAACAAAATGGACATACAGATGATTTCAACATTGTATGTGCTAAAAGAGGGATTATGATAATATCATCAAGGCTTCAGAATTAACTTAAGTTATAATATATATCGATATACAAATGTGAACAGTCTTACGTCTTAATAAATAGTATAAAACTTCATATTTTTTAAATGCGCAGACGATGTTCAAGCACGTGTTCTAAACATCAGTAAGCCTGCGAGAGTGTACTAAAGGATATATTAACCTATAGCCCATACCGACAGAGATATTTCCTTGGCGACATGACTTCCTCCTCTAGGACTGAACTGTCTCGCAAATTAAATGTCAAAAGTGCCTTAAAAATTTAAGCTTTGCTTCTTTGCATTCAAGACGAAAGCTGTCCCTGAAAAACATTCATTTTTTAATCTGGTTTGCCGTTTAAATGAATTAATGAGGCACTAGCGTTATTTTATGCGATGAAAAAATCAATTTCGACGCTAGATTCGCATAATGGGAAACGCTGGTATAACTTTATAAAAACATAAAATAATCAACTCTACGTTCACTTGAAATTTAGTCAAATAAACATTGTAAAGCATTCTTTTTTTATATTTGAAGCATAATTTACGAAAGAAAGCAGCATATAATAAAGCAACACTATGTTGACACTAAAGTTCGATGGCATGCACTGGCTTGTAAGTAGGTAGCGATAGAGTCCAAAAGGGCACCCTTGTCGTAAACACAAAGTCAATACATTAATATAATGTCACCTTTCCACCATCCCAGCTCCGCTGTGTTTGGTCCACGAAATAACACGAGTTGCCATGGCAAATCCATTCATCTGTTACAAATAGTTATAGCAAAAGTCTTGCATTAAATAAGTTAATTTATTTTTATTAAATAATTGATTATAAGAGGTAAGTTTTATGAACCACATATGTAGCTGCAATATTTATTTTTCTGATAGAGAAAGCTTTGTAGGAGCACATTTGTCTCGGAGCACATTTGTCTTACGTAAGACCGATGCGGTCGCATTTGTCCCACATGAGACAAATGGGAACTCAAATGTTAACCCCAAAAAACTCATCTGTGTGACAAATGTGCTCCGATCAAAATTTTTAAGGGACACGAAAGCACATTTGCCTCATGTGTTTTTAAGGGACATAAAATCACATTTGTCTCATGTCATTTTTTATGAATTATTTGTCACACATTTCCCCACGTCAGAAATTCTTTTTTTGAATCGAGGTTGGCCGTTTTACCTCATGTCAAGCGTAATAATCAATAGGTTTGCTTAGGCTTTCTTTATGAAATCCTAAAGTGAACTATTAATTATAATATCTCTAACACAAAAAATTGGCTTAACCTTAAGGCGTAGACTGAAACATCCTACACCCCGTTCACGATGGTGCAATGGTGACAGCACGATGGTACGTTGATGAAAACGCGATTGTGCGATGGTGAAAACACAATGGTACGAACTTGAAACAACGATTGTTCGATGGTGAAATAACGAAGGCTCGATGATGAAAACGTAATGGTACTATGGTGAAAGACGATGTACCGATGGTGAAAATACGATTGAACGATATGATGAAACTGCGATGGAAAGATGATGAAAACGCGATATTATTTTCTCTATCGTGTCAACGCATCATCGTAATTTCACCTTCGTGCCATCGTGTTTTAAACATCGTACCATCGTACCATCTCATTTTCGCCTTTGTGCCATTGTGCACAGCTGTTCAGGGAGACAAATTGTTACTTATGTCCAAACGGAACATCGTAATCGGTTGATACTGAAGGGTACAATATCGTAACTTGTTTCGCATCTCGCCGAATTCTGGCGTCTCGCTTCGCATCTCGTTCGTCGGTGCGAGACAAGAAATATGTTCCAGGTCATATACCGCTAAGTAGTATTCCCTTTATTGTCTACATAAAATCACTTTAAGGCCCATTATGACTGAGAAATGCTTTTATTTGTATTCCTCAAAATTAAAGCTTTTTATTTTTGGTATACTTTTATAGCTCTAAAAAGATACTCATTGGCTAAATACCTGAAGCATTTTTTCACCTGCTGCTTTTTTGCAGTTTGTACAGTTGAAGTGATTAAGAATTTTGTATTGAAGTCAAAATACTACTTTGTTTACATTTTGCTACTTTTATGACGCATTATTTCACATTTATCGCGGATTCCTTTGGGTTACAAGCATGTAACTTCCTCAGAAATCATTATTTGAATATTAATAAATTCATACTTGCCCTATCTAAAGAAGTAATATTTATTCATGTCTGAAATCTCGTGATACGGGATACTTCGAAATTGCGAGAGCGCGTGTTGCAATATCGTACCTCGCTTCGTGTCTCATCTGAGTGATCGTCTCGTCCGATTCTGAGTGGCCCGATATTCCATAATTATGGCATTAGCCGGATTATTTTAGGAACTCATGCGTGTTGTAAGTGCTTTTTCAATGGCGGATCTGAAAGCCGCAATTCTTTGAAATTGACGCTTTTTATACATATATTTCTAATGAAAATAAAACGTGTGAAATGGTCTTCTTATTTTCTTCCATAGATCATTTAAGGGCCTCAGTGGCCGAGTGATTTCAAAAAACCACTTGCCCCTAACCGCTGTATGTTCGGTACATACACGGGGCGTGGAACTATTCATGCGAGGATCCCGGTCTCCTTTATGCCACCTTAATTACTAGCTTGTTTTTGCTAAGAATATTTCTAGTGCCATAAATCATCTATAAAACTTTAAGCATTGAAAATTAACGTATCACAATTAATAACGATAAGAATAGACTTGCTGCATTTGTGTTTAGGTTCTGGTTGCTGCACTTGTAGAAATTTTCATTGTGACATGCAAAACAAGGATACTCTTTAATTTAATATATGACTCCTATGCAGAGGCAGCAAGTTTTTGACTGACCGGAAGTGACCTAAAAACGGTGTTATAAATACAGAAAACACAGAACAAGGGCTAGTAGCCGGTATACAGATGGGCATGATTATTACCTTTTAAGAATTTAATGGAAAAAATGTGAGACAAATGTGCGTCGAACACATCTGTCTCATTTCCAATTTGTCGCAAATAAGAATGTTTACGAACACATCGGTCACACTTCATGAGACAAATGTGCTCCGAGACACATGTGCTCCTACAAAGCTTACCATAAAGTTTTAATATAGAATATAGATTTAGATGTCTTATGATTAAAATTTCATACACAATGAATCGTTAACAAACCTTTAACACACTTGAAATCGGTGATACTCCATGTTCCTGAGCTTTGACATGTCACTATACCAGTGTTGTTAAACATGTTTTTGCAGCCTTCTTGACATTTGTATTCAGCCTTGTCCCCGATAAAGAACATGTTTCCGTGTATAGTTGCAAACTTCTTTTCCCTAGGCGGACCGCATCCTTTTGTCAAAAATTGTCAGATTAAAAGTGTTAAATGTAACCTGTTTATTGCTTTATCAAAAGCATATAAACATTAAAGATTCAAACCTAACATTTTTACTTAAATAAACAATGAAGAAAAAAAACATGATGTACCTGTATCTTTCACGGTATTCAATACCCAAAATAGTTCGCAATTTTGACGTCAATAATATGACATCAGAAATGATGCCACTTTATATGAAACAAGAGTGATTCAAGAGCACGTTATCCTATATAATGTTACATTTTTCAATTTACCAACTCTTTAGAGTATTGTTGTTCATCGTTATATTGGTCATTTTTATAGGTTAGAGCTATCGCCCTCGCTTCTGCCACTAAAGCTGGCTATACCCTGTTTGTTTTCCTTAACACTAAGCTACCTTAATCTACCTGGAAACGTTTGGTATCACTAGTTCCTACTGGCTTTTTTTGAGGTATGATCGATAAAAAAATGTTAAATGTAAATGTATACCAGTTTTAATGTTTTTTGTTATACATCTTTCATTATATCTATGGGAATAAAGTATTATCGTTAAGTTTAGTTTTTAAGTAAAAGGTATTATGTAATTGTACATGATATATATATCTAACTGTTTTGTCAATGGTCACAATATGCGGCTGTGTGTTCAACAAACTAACATTTATTCACATTTACCTGAACTTTGACAATTCTGGTATTTGTTCGTATCATGTTCCCCTGCTTGGCATTCTCCAGAGTGTCCACATGATCTACACACGTCGTACTCACCCTGAAATTAAATTGTGTTCTTGTAACATCTTATCATATTTAAATTATCATTGTTATCTGAAAAATCAGCATCAAAAACATTTTGGAAATAAAGTAATAAAACAAATAAGATTAACATGTCTTTTGTTTGTAACACATTTATTTAACATTTGACATAGGTCAAGCGAAACAATAATTTTTTTGTGAATTACGAGAAATTAACCACTGAAGCGACGATTCCTCCATTGCTATAGATTTATTTAAAAGTTAAAAAGGTCTATAGCAAAGGCGTCTGCCTCTCAACTAATGAATCCTGTGCATTTATAAAGTCACATAACAAAGAAATGATTAATTCGTTTTTAGTATAGGACATTTTATTCATATCTATTAGCAAGCACTTAAATAATGTACACCGCTAATTATTGCCACTATATCATTGTATAAATATTTGTGGCAGTATCTTTGTCTCGACCATGTTTTCAAGAAAAGGGCGATGGAAAATGAAAACGAATTAATTGTAATAAATGAGTACGTAACAAAACTAATTGGGATATCCAACTCCAGAAGCAATAACGCTGTGGCTACAGGATACAAGAAATAAATCCAGTAATTAGCTTGAAGATTTGGTGAAATATGTTGCTTCTGAAATAAGTTGTTCTAGATTAAAATGCTGACATATAAAATTTAGTTTGCGGGCCATTTGTGGATAAGAATCATTGAAATTAAAGTCACCTGTGAAAATTACATCAGATAATACACAGATATCCCAGTATCAAGTATATATCTATCTTGTCCAGGAGGCTTTGAATATTACACTGTAATATTGAAAGGCATCTATTGTTCCCAATCAATTCTGATATTGTTCTAGATCCCGAAGAAAATGAAGATGAACTAGTGGTTGACGAATCCGGACCAGGGTTGAGATGGACGTCGCCAGCTCTCAGAATGAGGCAAAATACCCAAAGGACACAACGGCGAATGAAAGAGCAATCATAAGAAATTTGGTGAAAGTGGAATTACGAGTAGAGTTGGATCCTGGTAACATATGTTTTGTGGATACATAATATTGTGTTTCGCTTGGATCATCTGATGAGCTAGCACCGAGAACAATATATGTAATTATTACATTAGACATAACGGGCAGTAGTACCATGATATAAGGAACATTGAATATTTCCATGGGCTAGCGTAATGTTGAGTGATCGTGGGTGAAAATAATATGTTTTTCATTATGTTATTGCTGAGAGGAACTCTAAAAAGAGGTTTGCCATGATCGCGCATAAACATAGACTAGCACCTATCATCTTAATGCAAGTAGAACTATTCCGGAGGAATGGCTAGAAATTTGGTTTGTAAGTATGAGATAGTTTAGAGAATGGAGAACAAAAATAGAAAAGGAAATACATTTTCAACCTGGGCTGATGAAACAATAATGTTAAATCTAAAATATGATATAACTGATAATTACTTACGTTAAATTAAAGGTATATGTAATTGCTTTTTGTTTTATGTATACACAAAAAATTGAATAGATTGGTTCGATTTAATCATACTGTCAATTAACTCTTTAAAAAGAAACATCAAGAAGCCATACTGCACAAAAAATAGCAATTTGTTACATGTAATGAAGTAGTAAAAGTTAGTAGAAAACACTAAGTAGAAGTAATAGCGAGTAGACATTTTTATCAAGTTTTTTGTTTGTTTGTTTGTTAATCATATACCACATACTGAAGCGGAAGAATTTAACGCTTCTCATAATTTTGATGATGTAAATTTTAATTTTGGTTGTTTAGATAGAAATATTACATTTGAAGAAGTTTGTAAAGCAATTTCGTTACTGAAATGTAGAAAATCTCCCGGCGAAGATAATCTTCTAAACGAATATTTTATCGAAGGTTGTGATATTTTAGCTGGACATATTACTGAATTATTTAATAAATTTTTTTTAACTCCGGTGTATTTCCGAACGCTTGGACAAAAGGTATAATAATTCCGTTGCATAAAAAGGGAGATAAATGTGATGTTAAGAATTATCGAGGCATTACTTTATTCAGTAATTTTGGAAAAGTATTTACATGTATTTTAAACCAGCGAATAAGTGCCTGGTGCGAGGAAAATGACGTCATATCTGACACCCAATTTGGTTTCAACTACTGATGCTGTTTTAATTTTACACTCTCTCATACAAATATTTATTAATGACAATAACAGATTATATTGCAGTTTTATTGATTTAAAACGTTGCTTTGATTCAATTTACAGAAATGCTCTTTGGTGGAAGCTTTACAAAAGTGGGTTGAATGGGAAAATGTTACGTATCATACAAAACATGTAACAGTCAGTAAAATCGAGTGTTAAGTCTTGTAATAGTTATTCTGATTATTTTGATATTTCGATAGGTCTAAGACAAGGGGAGATAATTTCGCCAGTTATGTTTTCTTTATTTGTAGAAGATTTGGAACTGTTTTTACAAGATAGAATAGATTGTGGAGTAAATTTTCAAGATATTTGTTTAATATTATTGCTCTTTGCAGATGACATGGTCATCTTAGGTCTTACTCCACAAGACTTACAAAACTCTTTAAACAAACTTTATGAATATTGTAATAAATGGGGCCTTGAGGTTAATGTTCCAAAAACAAAGATAGTTGTGTTCAGAAAAAGAGGCCGATTGAAAAATGGCGAACTTTGGTTTTATGCAAATGAAGAAGTAGAAGTTGTAAACGATTTCAACTATTTAGGTATTACATTAAATTACACTGGGAATTTTACCTTAAATACACAAACATTGTATGGAAAGGGATTAAAGGCAATGAATGCTCTTGTTTCAAATTTAAAAAGATACAATACTAAACCAAAATTAGCCTTACAATTATTTGATGCTTTTGTTTCATCTATTATTACATACGGTTGTGAAATATGGGGCTTCACTAAATCAAAGCAACTAGAAACATTACATTAAAAATTTTGTAAAACATTACTTGGTGTGCGCCGCTCTTCTTGCAATGTAGCTATTTATGGGGAAGGTACCCTCTATATATTAATAGATATATACGTATTGTTAAATATTGCTATAAAATATGTAACAGCGAAAATTTGATAATAAAAACTATCGTTGACAGTTCCATTGCTGATGCCGAAATAAATAGGCCAAATTAGTTTTATAATGTTAAGTGTATAATAGCCAGATATGGATTTTTAGAGATATGGTACAAATTTCGTAATATCAATATTGCTAATTTCATTTCAACATTTAAGCAGAGACTGATTGATGAATTTGTGCAGGATTGTAAAGGAGTTATGGAGAGAAGTAGTTCTCTATTAGTTTATAAAAATATTAAAGATTCGTTTGCTTTTGAACCATATTTAGATAAAATTACTTCAAGAAACCTTAGGACAGCTTTTACAAAAATACGTATTTCAGCCCATAGTATCCGTATCCAAACTGGAAGGTTCGCAAATAATCAAATAGATAGAGATCAACGTTATTGTCAAATCTGTAACTTAAACGTAATCGAAGATGAATACCATTTTGTTTTTGTTTGTCCACAATACAATGTAACTCGTCAAAAATATATAAAGAAATTTTACAGACAAAAACCAAGTATGTTTAAATTTGTAAACCTTTTAAATAGTCAAAATTATTTAGAATTACTTACGTTTAGCAAATATATTTTTGAGGCTTTTAATATTAGAAATCAAATTCTTTCAAATGTGCCAATATAACTTCTTGAAGTATGGTAATTCATTTACAATAATATTATATGCACATTTTAAGGATTCCCTTTTTGAACTGTTTAGGTATTATATTATAGTTCCTATTTTCCATTTTAAGTATCTGTTGAATTCACACATTATCACATAATGCAAGTACATGTGTTTTTTTTCTTTGTTCTTTAACATGCAATTACATGTTGCTTTTTTGATTTTCGTTATATAATGTATGCATGTTGTTTCTTAAGAAAATATTAGTTCATCCATTATTGTGTTATATATAATAATTTCATTCACTTTTCATCCTATATGTATGGTTCAATATTATATTATATGTATTATTCATTGTTAAACACTAGAAACTGTACAGTTTATGTGTAATAAAATATGTTCTGTTCTGTTCTTATCGCCGTCACCACAAAACTGTACAGTAATTACAAACAATTATATTGTTTGCTTGCAAACAAATATAATGCGCAACAATAGAAAGGTGTGCACCTTTTGATTAGTGTGAAATGACACGTGAAAAATATATCCCGGTAGTATCTTTAATTTAATACCGTAAATCAGATGACAATTAAAGTTTTCGACGATTATTTAGCAGTGATGGCGGGGTTTTATTGCAATTTACCGTATCACCAAAAGAAACATTGTCATTATAAAGCATATTGTTTGTAGTCTCTAAAAACTCAATTCTTCGCAGCCCGGGCAAAAGTACAAAAATTCAAGATGGCCGCCAATATGGCCGCCATAAATTACAAAATACCATATAATGTTTGTTTCTTGATTTTTTACATACGGATTTGGTACAAAGTAGTTTCAATTGCACAATATCAGATAAAATATGGCTGATTTATGATTCAATCAAGTAAAAATAACAATTATATGGCAAACATTAAAATTATCACTATCAATTTACCAAAAAAGTTGTAAAAAATAGCATTTTTTGACAATATGATAACTTTCGTTTTTCCGTATTTACACAATATAAACGAAAATGCATTTAAAATGTGTGTACTTTATCAATTTAACATAGATATACAAGTTAAGCATAAACAAATTATTTTCTGGGCATTTATGCCGTAAGAGTAGATTTTTAAAAGTGGGTGGGGTAATATTACCGAAAAAGAAATTTAAATTACAATGTTCCCATAACTTGCCTTTACTTTATAATTTCTGTTTAATGTATAGGAATTTGTGTTTTAATTGTATGTTCTTTATCATTTGAACATGTTTTGATAAGTTAAGCATAAAAATTCATTACCTGACGCATTTATAACAGAAAAGTACAGCTTCAAAAGTGGGTGG